CTCACTGATCCTTTGTGGTATCCCTACACTTGATCCCTTCTTTATCACTTATCCTTTTTACCACTTGTGGTATCCCCACACTTGGTCTCTTCTACACCCTTATCTCCAACAAGCCTGAACCATCCTTCCACCAATCCTTCCATCTCAGAGAGCAGTTGGTATCCCCAGCTGGCCCCCTCTCACACTAACGACGGCTTGGGGTAACAATGAGTAGTACAGGCAATCTGTCTAGCTCAAAGGTTGGTTGAGATCCAATGACAAACTTAATTGACAAGGTTGAACACAAGCCATAAGGGTTGTGTTCCTACATGATATATACTTGAATGATTGTATGGAGTCCTACAGTATCTTACTGTCTTATGAGATGTTGTCCCAAAGTCCCATGGGATACGTGAGACTGCATGGGAACCCCATGGCTTGCTTGCTTCCATCCCATAGGATGCTAGACTACTTGTATTGTCCTAGTGTACTCACGTGGCCATGGGGTAGCTTGTACAACAGGCGCGGCTTCTCTGACAGCCGTTCTCCCTATGTTCAATAACCGCTGTCCCCAGGCCCAATAACTCCTTCTCTTCTGTACGTGTTCGTAACAGTTGGCCAAAGAATGCAGGGTTCGTTACCTCATCAAAGCAGTTTGGCAACAAAACATTGCACCCCCTAGTGTCTAGATAATTATTTGGACCAGGTGGAATGGCATTCTTTTCAACGCTATCAACGGCACAAGATCTGGCTCTCTTCACGTGACAGCAGCCCTAAGCCTACCATCTCGCTTCCGGTGCCATTACCGAGCGGGTCAGAAGGTGGGCCAATGTTCGATCTGCATGCCTCCCGTTAGCTTCATTCGGATAGCTTAAGCGGACATCACGTTGGAGTTGTCATCAAAGCTGCCAACCCATTTGACGTCACAATATATGCATGTCTGCATGACGCAAGTGTACGCCATATGTTACTAGTTGTGAGCATATAGGTACTCTCATCACTTGAGGGGTAGAAGCAATAAAAACAATCAACGCAACATTGAGATCAATTCATCAGATCAGTCCAGGGTAAAGCACAGAAATACACAATCACGATGTCTCAATCACACGGTCAGAAAGTACGAATCTCCCTACTCCCGTCCCGCTCACACAAGTCAAGCTGCCGTCTCGCCTTACCTTCTGTATCTATCTACACAACATCAAGACAGGAACTTACAGACTCAGGTAACAACAGATCCCCGCTCCCAGCAAGCCATCCACGAAGGTGTCGGTACCGTAACCAGCGACTCCCTTGCCGCCGAGTCGCTCAAAGGCAACGGTTCCTTCGGCGAAGGCAATCCCAAAGCCGCAGCATCTGCTCAACCATCCGCCGGCAGCACAACCGCCAACACCGATACCAGCGGCGCGCGCAAGCTCGACCCTGCCGTCGATGCAGAGGCCCGCGATGCCGCCTCCGGCTGGAGCGAGCAGCAACAGCTCTCCGCGGGCTCGGGCCTGGGCCTAGGAAAAGAACACGGCGTCGGTCCAACGTACAACAAAGTCGGCGGCGCCACAGGGTACGGGACGTCCACGCAGCCTCCTTCCTCCAATGTGGAAGAGATTCAGGGTGGGTATGCGGGCGCAGCTGATAGGGTGAGGGAGGCGGAGGGAACATTCAAGATGCCTGGCAAGAATGTCACTGAGGATCCGAACCTGACAGGTAAGACAGAGTTTGGGGCGATTGGAACGAACAAGGACCCCGCGAGACAGGCAGAGCTGGATCAGGCCAAGAAGACAGCGGCCAGTGGAGGTGTTAGTCTGGCTGGGGGACAGCAGGAGGGAGGTAGCAAGTTCAGTGCACTGAGCGATGAGGCTGCTTAGATGAGTTAATGGCGATATGATTTACGAATACAATAAACATCAATACAGCAATATTATGTACTTCGGTCCATGATCTGAGTACCTCTAGCCTACCTTTTAGCCCAAATGCTGCACCGTAACGCTTGAGATGCAACTATTGAAACCGCCCAGTCTGATACAATCTGGACGCGTTATCCACTACCTGCATCGTTACGATTTTGTTTAGACCTACTGCGAATAACCTTGGCGCTACTGAAGTATAATCGGGTGATATGTTGAGTTTAAAGTGGTGTTGCACGGTGTAAGTACGCATGTGGGGCACTTTCGCGACTTAAATCCTGGCGGCCCGTGCTTCGTAGGGCTGTGGACTAACAACGTCGAGGTGGCCTTTCGGGGACGCGTAGCCCGAACTCGTTCGCATGTCAGTGTCACTCTCTCCACACCACCACCACCGGTCCCTTACGTGGCTGTCTCTCCTTCCGTAGTCGCGAATTGTCTCACCTTTGGTCGCAGCTGCTTCTTTCAGTCGCAATTGGGTCTGCCGCACCCTGACTGCGCAATTGTACGCCCACCATGAACGGGTTTCAAGATCATGGCCTCGATGAGGATGCATTTGGGGCTTCGAAAGGGAACATCGTGTCCAGCTTTGATGCTTTTCGTGAGTACCGTTTCCATGCAATTGAATGTTCTACTGACATGTATAGCCAAAACTAAGAAGACATACCTTGTCCAAGGCCGCAATTCCTCTGCTTGGACCGTCACACTTATCCTCACATGCATCTGGCTGGCCTGGACCGAAACCTCACGCTGGTTCACTGGCACAACGACGCAGACTTTCTCCGTCGAAAAGGGCGTCTCGCACGACATGCAGATTAACCTCGACGTAATCATCGCCATGCGCTGCGCCGACCTGCACGTCAACATGCAAGACGCGGCCGGAGATCGCACACTCGCTGGTGACCTGCTGCGCAAGGACCCTACGAGCTGGGCGCAGTGGACGGGTAAGAATGCTGAGAAGGGTGTGCATGAGCTGAATGAGGGGATCGGGCAGGAGTGGGACATGGATGATCTGGAAGTGCATAATCACCTGAGCAAAAAGCAGAAGAAGAAGTTTGCGAAGACGCCGAGGATCAGGGGCGCGACAGATTCGTGCAGGATCTTTGGGAGTTTGGACGGCAACAAGGTGCAGGGCGACTTCCACATCACCGCAAGAGGACACGGATACATGGAGTTTGGAGAGCACCTGGATCACAACTGTAAGCCGCACCCCTCGCCCCAACAACACACTCACAAACATAAAACTGACATCCCACAGCATTCAATTTCTCCCACATCATCCGCGAAATGTCCTTCGGCCCTTACTTCCCCTCGATGAACAACCCGCTCGACAACACCATCGCCCTAACTCCGACCCAAAACGACCACTTCTACAAATTTCAATACTACCTCTCCATCGTCCCTACCATCTACACCGACTCTCTCAGCGCCCTCAAAGCCCTCGAAAGTGCCGACTCCGCCTCCACCGCCGGCCTATTCAGCCAGCACGCCATCAAGACAAACCAGTACGCCGTTACTTCCCAGAGCCACACAGTGCCTGAGCAGAGCGTGCCCGGCGTGTTTGTTAAGTTCGATATTGAGCCGATCACGTTGAGTGTTGTGGAGGAGTGGGGTGGGTTTTGGCCGTTGGTGGTTAGACTCGTGAATGTCATTTCGGGCGTCATGGTTGCGGGCGGTTGGGCGTGGCAGATGTATGATCTTGGGTTGGAGTTTTGGGGGAAGAGGGGGAGGAAGGGCGATGGGATGGGGATGTTGGGGACGCCGCAGGTGGAAAAGAAGAGCTGGGATTAAGCGATAAGATTCTTGTAGACAAGTCAAGCAATATCGACATTCCATCAGTTACCTGGCTGCGATGACTGGGCCTCAGGCCATTATCTTGGTGGGACGAGCCCTGGAGGCATTCACGGTATCTGCCGGCGTCGCACAGAACAGCCAACGGTCCACAATGCCCGTACTTACTGCGTCTCGCGCTCTGCGATTATACGAAAGCCAAATGACTCGGATTCGCTTTGTGACTTGAGCCCTACCCGTTCCCCGGAGCAAAACGTCCAAAGTCTCGAGCAAGTAATGGAGGAAGCCGACTCTAACCTTTGAATCTGGTGAGTAATTTCACAGTCTACTATTCGTCAATGTGCTCTTGAGCCTCATGTTCAGATTTGGAGCTGATCTGTGCGCAGATACCAGTCTTAATATGGGGCGTAAGGTTGTCGCTTGTCAATTACCGACATCAGACGTTTTTCTCACCTGAGGTGGAGATCTCACTGCAGGTACGGCGCAGCACCACGGTTTTGACAACCAGATACGAAGAGATGTGGAATCTTTCGCAGAATCTGCCGTTTCTGAATCCTACCGAGATTATTTGTTGCACCACCCATCGAATTAGACAGCCGCAGCGAAATCAACAAGACAAGCCGGTAAGAAAACCCTGACAGCCTCCAAAGCGGCATATCTTTCGACGAAATGCTTCGTCATTTCTTCGCTTACACGTGTGGGTGGCACAGCTTTCATGGCTTTGCAGAAATGCTACAGAGTTTGGGTAAGGAACAGCATATCGCCAGGTCAGGTGATGATACTAACCGAGTATAGTAATACGTGATCCTACATGCCCTACACATGTGTTCCTTCCGACGCGGCTCAGTTAGGGCGGCCCTCTCAGTGCCAGCGATTGCGCAAAACGAATATTGTGAAAAAGAAGTAATGCGCTGTGAGGACCCTGAAATAACGGTCGCCGCCTGGAGGCACTCGCAGGTGTGTACCAAGCTTACCACACATGGTTAGACGACAGGCGAATGGCAGACAGTATCCAAAGCTTGAGCGACCTCAGTGACGAGGAGTTGCGGCACTTTGCGAAGACACCGGTTGCAGAGCCACCTAAGGGGATATCATCAATTTTTGACGACCCACCAAGCCGAGCGGCGCTGCAGATATGGACGACATCAGTCTTTCTCGCTACGTTAATACCTCCTCAGTAAAGAAACTTCTGACATTCTGCACAGTGACCTTATTTGTGACTGTTGTAGGTCAAATAAATCGGACTACTTCATCGAAACAATACTGATGTGGAAAAGGTGTTGTCCATTGCGCAGTAAGGCGTTATGATGGAAGGTGAGTAGTGCTTGGAGTGCTCTGACGCGTGCACTCTGGCTGATCAGAACGATGCAGGAGTTACACAAGGCTTCATGGGGCGCCATCTCTGGGACATAAGCGTGGCCCAGATGCTCAATTCACGATCACCACCTGCAAGTCATCCGCCGGTGCTATGGCCTTTGGCAAGTCACACTATGCTAACTCCAGGCCAGATCGCCTACACTACCATGATTCTCACACCATGGACGCTCCTCTTCCTCAAGACCACGTTTTTCGTGCTATATCTCCATCTCTTCGGCCGCATTCGCTGGGTGCGCATTAGCTCCTGGGCTGGGATTTGCTTTGTGGTCTTGTGCAATGGCGCAGGCGGCATCCATGCATTTGCCATTGCAAATCCGTACGAAAATGCGTCGTGGGCAGATAAGGCAACTCGACTCGGTGTACCAGTCGCTATATTGAGCCTTGTCGCGGAAGTCATCATATTTATCGTACCATTTGTGACAATCATACCGCTCAGATCAGTCAACCAAAGAGAGTCGGCGCACTTTTGATTTTCTTGACAGGTGGATGGTACGTTGACCGAAAGAAGTGAAGACGAAGAATATATGCTGATGGAGATGTTCTTAGTGCGATCATCTGCTCCACTATCAATATTTACTACCGATACCGGCTCCAGCAGAGTCCCGATATTATGTGGGACAGTGTGCTCGGCAGTATGTTCTCGTACGTCCAATCATTGACTTTTGTTTGGAAGCATACTCATATGAGACACTTAGGCTTTGAGAGATATTGCTAGGCATAACTTGCACATGCTTGCCGACTGCAGCATACGGCTTTCGCCAAAAGGGCTCAGTGTATCATAGAGTCTTACGCCCGTCCCATTACAACACTTCGAAACAACGCAACTCAACAATGTTCACACCCATACGGCGACCACGGTCGGGAGCCGCAGATGCAGAGTCGTTGAACTCAAGAAGTCGTATACGTTGCACGACATGTGTGGAGATTTCGACATCGGAGCCAGAGTGAGACTTAGATCTCGACGGAAAGAGAATACCACCGTCAATTGAAGAGGTGTGCGAAGAAGGACATGGAGACAAAGTCGTGGAGCTGAGAGCATTGGAACCAGTACATCTACCGGTATCGGACGCAGGTCATCGTAGGGCTTGAACAGCACATCGACCGAACCCGAAGTACAAGCCTATTTAGTTCAGAGAAAGAGAAGCTTGGCCAGCTACCGTTGCAAAACGTCGGTGCCCGTGTGTTCTTTCCTATCGTACAACACCCCACCGACAAGCTTTCATTTCCGTAGAGAGACCCGAGATCCTTGCAATGGTAGTCATGGTAACACAGTACATACGAGCATGAATTGCTCCGCTCCCTCGCCCCAACCCCATCCATCGACACACATCAATCTACCCGAGTTTGTACCCACTTATGTTGTGCCAGATGCAGCGCCCTTTTCAGATAGCCAGAGCGGAAAGGGATGTTGTATCTGTTGCTGATATATCTAAGACTGCAAGTTCAGTCTCCTTGGATCTGCAAGAAAAGAGATTCCTGAATCTCGAGAACTCCTTCCATACCAACTCCGCCTCATTCCAGCCATGTCAGCACCAGAGCCACCAGCGCTACCTGACGCATCCACGGATACCTTCGAATCTGCATACCAGGCCACCAGTGCTGAGGATGCAGAATGAAGCATATGCCTCGGCGCCCTCGCCCCAGTTTTTGGCCAAACGAAGAAGTGTGGGCACATATTCCACCGACCGTGTGCTTCAACTTGGTTCCGCGCGAACAACGTCGACCACGGAAAATGTCCTTACTGCTGAGACGCCTTATTTGAGAGCCCTAGAATATAAGCCGAACAACTTGAACAACTCGAACTTCGAGCCAGACAAATCAGATATGAAACTGGACGAGCCTTCCGCTATCGCCCGGAGCATAGCGACCAACTACGACCCGAACGAGCTCGACTCCAGATCCAAGAAGCCCTCCGCTCTGGCTTGGAGGATGATGTTGTTGCTTCGCAGGAGGAGCTCGCTACTGCGCCACATCAACACAATCCCAGAGCATCGGGCTGTAGGAACACTGGATGGCGCCCGCTCACCCCGAACGACGTTTGCTGGGATATCTGATTCTATCCTGCAGTTGCAATTACCTGACGCTTCATCGCAAGCTTTATGATGAAACTCCAATTGAGGAGCGACTGGCTGAATGAGTAGCTTCACGTGTCACAGAGAGGCGAGAGAAGAACAGTTTGTTCCCGGTCCATCTTCGAAAGAAACATTTTCACACTGATACATTCTCGCTTCTGTGCATCAAAAGAGTAGCCACATAAAAAGGCTCTGGTCGCCAACCCCTGTCGATATTATGCAAGTCATGCGCGGAGAGAACAGACGGTAAATGAACATGTATAATAACAACTTCGGTTCTGACGCAGAGCATCTGACCGGGGTGCAGGTGGATCTTGTACAACATCGCGTCGCGAAACGAGCAGCACGTGATGGAGCCCTTCACCCCTGTCTCATGTTTACCGAGTGGAAGGACCGCAGCAATACCTGTTATGTATCTCGGGCCGCGGATGAGGCAGCCATAGTGTTTGCTGTATGAGCCCTTGACAGTGAAGGTTCCGTCCGGCGGGCTGTTTTGCCAGAGTGCGTGTTACGGTTTGATTGATGTCTCGCAGCCTGAAGCTTCAAAGCGCATCTCCTCATCACGGAGATAGGGAGAACTGAGTAATTGCTGTTACGTTGCCCCATCTCCCTACCATCGCCAGCTTATCATTCCTCTCCTCGTTTCTTCATGGTACTCCTTGCTCGACACACGGCCACGACCTCGTCTTTCGGCATTTTTGAATCTTTGCAACCAGTCAATCTCCACGTACTGCTTCGAAGGCCAACCGAATCCCCGGTAAGGAATACGCAAGATGAGCGCCCCCTCTTCCTCACATTGACGCTCATGCTAGATCATTGCATACTTCAGCCACCAATTCTCTGTACAGGCCACCACTACACATTGCAAACAAACCCAAACGCATTCACGACAGGTATCCCTCAATACGATTGCCTTCTCTTCCTTGTATTACTGATCAACTAGGCAGCTGCTGGGCGGTACACACAATTGCAGAGCGTCAGTCGACGTCCGACCAGACTGCCAGATCTCTCAGGGACCGTATTGCACAAATCCACGGCTCCCTGAGAACATTTGTCCTATCAGGCGTGGACCAACTTTCATGTATGCCGCCCGACACCCAGTGCTCCATGTGCACAGAGGCAGGTACACCTGGCCTCGGCTTCGGGATACACAAATGTGGGCACGTCTTCCACGCGAAATGCGTGATACCTTGGTTTGAGGACCATGAGAAGCACAACAGCAGATGTCCGAATTGTCGAGCGGATCTATTTCGACCACGTCGTCCATCCAATAGCCCGCGGACAGTCCTTGGCCTTGGTGACCTTACTGAAAACGAACCACATCAACTAAACCGCAGTGAGACGGGACCAGAACGCGTTCTACACGTTCTACAATAACTGTTTGGCGGCAGTGCGCCAGCGCGATCTACACGAGCTGCTCTTCATCCTAGTTGGCTACCAGACTCGTGGACACATACAAGAGCCACTCCAGGATCCAACGACCGATCCGCCGCCGTGCGACTTGAGCCTGCCCAACCTCCTCAGCATGACCAAGATGCAGAACAGACTCCTTGCTCATGTCCATGGTCGTGGGAGTACTACGCGCGTGCGAGCCCCGATTCCAGCCGGGCCGAGTCCCGCTCCATGCCAAGCCACTGAGCCCACCCAGCAGTCGTCGCCTCCCACTCTGACGGAATGATTTCAACTGCGGATGATGGCGCTGGCGGCTTTTGGGACGGGGGCTCACGGGTAATGGAGTTCTCGTGTTTGCATTCAGCAAAGTGTGGGGAAAAGAGGCAGAACAAAGGGACGGTATGGCTGTGTTTACAACCTGGGGACAACGGGTAATGGACTCTGGCGTTATTGGTCAGTAGGAAGGTCGACGTACATGTGAAGCGGAATACTAGACACAAATGAAGATTGCTGAATTGGACGTGGGTATCTCGAAAACAAAACACCAAGCAATGCATGTATACTCGCCTCTCAGCCACGGACCTTGACCTTGATCCCCAGACCCCGCGCACTCGTCCACACGCTGTCACTCACCCTCGTAGGCAGCTTCCTTCCTTTCAACCGCTGATCAACCAACCATAACCCCACCACAAATTCAATCCTCGTCAGCCTGCCGACTTCTCGCCCATCAACAAGCGCCCAAACCTCCTCCAGAACATGCGTCGGCAACCGACTCCTCATCCAAATCTCCCTCACAACAAGATTTAGCACATCCAAACTCGGATCCTCATCACTCGTCAACCCATCCTTCTCCTTCGTCGCAGATAGAGGGAGGAGAACGCCCTTGTTCGCCGCCCACACACCCTCATACCTCTTCCTCTCGCGCTCAGTAATCTGATCGCGCCACCTCTTGCGCGTCCCCTCGTGGTGCTTGTTCGGGTGTTTCCTCACCTTCATACCAAGCATCCTGTTACCCTTGCCCTTGAAATCAATCTCGTCGTCTGACGAAGATGGGGGCGAGGGGTCTTTGCGCATCGTTGTCCGCAGCTTCCCTGTTGTCTTTGGGGGGGAAGATTTTTGCGGGGACGGCGAGCGGTGAAAGGGCATGTGGTGGTGGTGGTGGTGAGTGTGCGGTTTTCGCGGTGGGAAGAGCGGCTCGATAGGTTGGGGTGGGGGGTTGGGGGATGATGTCCGGCTGGAGGCGAGCGCGGCGCCCATTATTGCCGACGAGAGGGATTCGCCCGTCATGTGCTTGGTGATTGCTTTTGCGGATTCGCGCTGGTATGGGTTGTGGTAGACGGAGCCAGTGGCTGAGGATGGGCAGTGCGGTGGGGAGAGGCGCTCGGGGGGCTGCAGGCGCTCGGGTGGTTGAAGGGGAGAGGCGGATTTGCCTTGTCTTCGCGGAGTTGGTACAGAAGGCTTTAGTAGCTTGGCGTTGGCTGGGACGGACTCGGTTTTTCGAGTATTCGATCGTCGTGGTGGAGGCAGTGCGGGTTTTGCCTTCTCTTCTTCCTCGAGCGGGGGAGGTAGACTAGGCTTGGCCCCCTCCTCCTCCTCTAGCTCTTCTTTCGCTGACTTGAAGGATGCTGGCGAAGACGGTGCATTACTCTCTATTGAAGTCGAAAGGCGCCTGTTGAACGTCGCTGAGCGCCTCGAATCTTGGGACTTCGGTCGTCCTTGACTGGACGTTGTGGGACCAGTTACGGCTTTGGTGTTGAGAGCGGCCAGCTGGACTGGCTTCTGCTTGATGGGCGGTGATTTCAATGGCGCGTTCTGCGTCTGAGAAAGGAACGTGCGAGACGACTCGCTCGTGCCGTCCGTGAACTGCAGTCGTGGTACCTCGATCGAAGGCTTCGATTTGGGTACAGGAGGTGGTGTGGTTGTCTTCTTCCTGACTAGTGGAGCTTCATCATTAGGTTCTGGAGGTAGTGTGAAAGTGCGCCGAGGCTTAGGTGACTTGACGGGAGGTGGAGAGTGCTTGACGACAACTGAGGGTGCAGCAGGAGGCTGCGTAGGAGTAGCAGGCCTGTTCTGCTCGAACATATTGACGAGGGAGTTGGTGGGCGGTATAGGGGTGTCGTCGGTAGGTTTATCTCGAGGTCCTACACTGGCTGCTGCACTGGCGACCGGGCGCGAGCCGATGCTGTCCCTCCTCCTGCGCGGCTGCTGACTCGGCGGCTTCTGGTGGCTGGGCTTCTGCTGCTCCAGCCTTGCCAGTGCGTTCCCCACGCTTCCTGACGGCGGCAGCACATCGCGCTCATTGGCGTCTCTCTCGCTCATCATAGCTGCAGCTCTGTCCTGGGGTGCTGGCCGCAGAGGGCTGAGGCGCGCAGCCGCCAATTTGGCAGCAGTGTATGACGGCGACGGAGCGCGGTCGACGTGCTTGTCCGGCACACCCAGGGAGCTCGAGCTGCTGACGTGCTTGAGCAAGGGATGCGGCCTGCTTATGCTCCGCGAGCTACCGCCGGTGTAATCTCTTTGCAACGGCGCAGAAGTGCCGGCCGACGTGCTTGGCCGCCCCGTGCCTACTTTGGCGGCAGCGAGGAGTGCGCCATTGCTGCCTCCAGTGTATGTGTTGGTGAGGTGCTGAGGTTTGGCAGGTGGTCTGGCGAAGGCTGAGGAGGCTCCAATCAGGGCTGCATCGCGGACATTGTGCTGCGTATCGCCGGTCGACTGCGGGACGACGCTGCGGCTGCGTACGGAGCTGCTCATTTGGCACCCATTGAACTGAGAATCGCGACGTATGCGTAAAGTCGAGATGTGCGAGTGTCGAGAAGGATTTACAGAGAACCGAACCCCTAAAAGCCGGGCTGAGCGAACGACTCAAGGGAAAACGAGTGCAAGTGGAACCGTATGCTATTATGCCATTATGCCAACATGCCCATGTCCCGTTCGCAGGGCCCACAGCTTGGAATAGAGTCAAGCTAGGCCGTGAGGAGCGATAGTGCTCATGTGACAGCGCGACATCGAGTCGCGCCTGCCTGCGCTGTTGCCTGCAGCTGCCCAACTCGCAATATCATAAACAAACCGCCTCGCCGTCTCGCCGTCTCGCCGTCCCAACTTCGATGCATCAATCATGGGCGGCGATACCAGCATGCCCGACGCCGAGGCGGTGCGTGAGAACACGCTCATGTACGGCCACGACAAGGAGCTGGATGAGAAATACCCAACTCGGCCCTTGAACGTGCACAAGACGCCGCCATTCCACACTTTCTTCACAGAGCTGTTCAATCTATTGATGGAATCTCAAAAGAGGAAGCACCCAGTTGGACCACGTCGCAAAGCTGGACCATCAGGTCACTCTAACCTCTCGCCGCACGAAGCCAAGAGGAACATCATCGAACGCTTCATCAAAGACTGGCGCAAAAATGTCGGCAACGACTTCTACCCCGCCATGCGACTAATCATCCCAGAGAAGGATCGTGATCGCGCCATGTACGGTCTGAAGGAGAAGGCCATCGCCAAAATCTTGATCAAACTCACCAAAATCAGCAAAGACTCGGACGATGCAAAACAGATGCTTAACTGGAAGCTGCCTGATCAGCTGTACAAAGCAGCCTCATCAACGGCTGGCGACTTTGCCGGTCGCTGCTATGAGGTCTTATCTACACGCCAGATGCGAACTCAATACAGTGACATGAGCATCGCCGAAGTCAATAATGCCTTGGATAAGCTGTCGCAGGTTGGTTCTGAGGACGAACAGGTCAAGATCTTCAACAGGTTCTACAGAAGGATGAACGCCGAAGAGATGACCTGGCTGATCCGTATGATTCTTCGCCAGATGAAGATTGGAGCTACGGAGAAGACGTTCCTCGATATGTGGCATCCTGATGCTGAGCAACTCTTCAACATCTCCTCGAATCTTAGACGAGTCTGCTGGGAGCTGTATGACCCAATGGTTCGACTTGAAGGTGATGACACAGGCCTCAGTGTGATGCAATGCTTCCAGCCCCAGCTGGCGCAGTTCCAGGACAAGGTCGGCTCATTTGAGAAAATCGTATCGAGGTTTCAGCAGAACCCTGACGATGACAACTTTTGGATCGAAGAGAAGTTGGATGGCGAGCGGATGCAATTACACATGATGGAAGATCCAGAGGCACCAGGCGGCAGGCTCTTCGGTTTCTGGTCACGCAAAGCCAAAGACTATGCCTACCTTTATGGCAAGCACCTCGAAGGTGAGGAAGCCGGCGCCTTGACACGATTCATTGCAGATGCGTTCGGGAAGAACATTCGCAATATCATCCTCGACGGCGAGATGATTACTTGGGACATGGAGACCGATCACATTGTTGGTTTCGGTACGTTGAAAACTGCAGCGATATCGGAAAAAGAGAACAAGACCAACAAGAACACTGGTCAACGCCCTCTTTTCCGCGTGTTCGACTGCGTATATCTCAACGACAAGCTCTTGACTCCATACATGTTGCGAGACCGCCGCCGAGCACTAGAGGGAGCGGTCAAGAATGTTCACCATCGTCTGGAGATCCATCCTTATATCGACGCGCGTTCGCACACTGAGGTCGAACCAGCATTACGAAAGGTCGTAGCTGAGTCCTCAGAAGGCCTGGTCCTAAAGAACCCTCGCTCCATGTACCGTCTCAACGAACGTAACAACGACTGGATGAAGGTTAAACCAGAGTACATGTCTGAATTCGGTGAGTCTCTCGACTGTGTCGTCATTGGTGGTTACTATGGTTCAGGTCATCGAGGCGGTGCTCACTCCTCCTTCCTTTGCGGATTACGCGTCAAGCAACATGCCAAACCGGGAGATCTGGACTACGAGAAATGCTTCTCATTCTTCAAAGTTGGAGGAGGGTTCAGCCGTGAGGACTATGCCGCCATTATAGGTCGCACTAAGGGCAAATGGAAAGACTGGGATCCCAAACGTCCGCCACCTACCATCGAGCTCGGTGGCCATGCAGAGAACCGACAATACGAGCGACCCGATCAGTGGATCCTTCCCAGCGACTCCGTCGTCCTCGAATGCAAAGCAGCGAGCGTAGAGAGCAGCGACAAATTCCGCATGGGTCGCACGCTCCGCTTCCCACGCTTCAAGCGTCTACGCGTGGACAAGCGTTGGGACCAAGCCCTGAGCATCCACGAATGGATCGAATTGCAAGACAATGTAGAACAAACCCTTGAAGAAAAACAACAGGAATTTAAGATCGAGCAATCGCGCCGCAAGAAAGCAAGAACTACCAAAAAGCCCCTCGTAATCTCCGGCAACGAAACAATCACCACCCCTTACGCAGGTCCAGAGTCAAAGCTCTTCGAAGGCCTGACCTTCTACATCATGACCGACCAACTCTATCCCGTTAAGAAAACCAAAGCAGACCTCGAAACCCTCGTCAAAGCCAACGGCGGCAAAATCGTCCAGCGCGACTCGCCCGACGAAAACCTCGTTATCGTCGCCGATAAGCGGCTTATCAAAGTCGCATCCCTCGAAAAGCGCAACCAAAACAACATCATCAAACCAATATGGCTGTCAGACTGCATTGCTCAGGACGAAGCAGATATCGGCGCACTACCGTATCTCCTACCTTTTGAGCCGAACCGGCATATGTTCTTCCTCCACGATAACGACCTCGAAGTCGTAGAAGGCCATGTCGACGGGAACGGCGACTCGTACGCACGAGATATCGGCGATATCGATGAAATGAGGAAGTTGTTGGAGGGTATGCAGAAGCCGAATGCGAAGAAGGGGTTTGATAAACAAGGGTTTCTTGGTCAACTTCAGGGCCACGGGGAAGATGTTACGAAGCTGAAGAGCTATATGTTTGTTAATGCCAAGGTTGCTGTTCAGATTAACGAAGATCCTGCATGGAGTCTCAAAGCGAATGTTGCGGCGAACTATATACGGTTTGGTGGGGGCGAGGTGGTGGAGAGGGATAGTGCGAGGGGTGTCACGCATGTTGTCGTTCCGGATGGTGATCAGGCGAGTAGTACTCAGGTTACGGGTATGGCGAGGGTGGTGGGTGTTGCGTGGGTTGAGAAGTGCTGGGAGGAAGGCACGATGGTCGATGAGGAGAGGTTCCAGTGGGGGTGATGGGGCGACATCGACTGAAAGTGCAGCGTAGCGATGCCACAATGATGACCAATTTTCCTCTTGCGACTACGAGAACGGACCTTCAACCCCAGTGTCAAACGCGATATGGCCTTGGATGCATGTTCTTCATCTGACCGCCTCACTTTCTGTCTGGGGTGCTTGCATACTCAACAACCCCACACCCCTCACAAACCCCGCCGTGCTCCAAAATCCTCCACCAAAATCAAGATCATACCAGTAGTTCACCGCACAACACAAACCTTCCTCATCACAACTCTGACTCACTTTATGATACCACAAAGCCGGCAGATACAGCATATCCCCCTCATCGAGCGTGACGTGCATCGGGCGAGCAAACTGCGAGTAGGGAGTTGTGTTGAGCGTGGGTGTGTCCGGGTCCCATGTTGCGAAGGGGACGTAGGTGGGTGGTGAGTCGACATGGATCGCTAAATCTGCTACCTCGTCCTCATCTGCAGCGTTTTGAGACTTCTTTGGTTCGTAAGTAGCGGCCAGGACTTCCTTCTCGCCTACACACGGCGCATCGCACGGCGGGAGGAGGACAAAGTGCTTCCGCCCCAGAATCTGCACGTAGATGTTCTCGTAGTTATCTTTATGCAGAGCGGTCACCGAGGCGCTGCTGCCGAGCCAGAGATTCACTGCGTCTGGTGATTGGTCCAAGGCGACGCGGGCGAATGGGATGCTGGGCGGGACGTCGGAGAATAAGCTTGTGTATTCGTCGCGCAGGTTGTCGTTTTGCGTTTGCGCGTACCGAATGGGGAGGCCGTTGGAAGAGGTGGGGTGGAGTCCTTGAGCGCTGATGGCGTCCAGCACCATGCCGAAATCTTCACTTTTCTCGTAGGGCTTGACGAATACACTTCCGCCGGATGGAATGTTGACGACTGAATCGGCGTTCCCGTGGGGTGTGAGAGAGACGTTGACAGTTTGGCCGGCCATTACTTCCTTGAGGTAGGCGGCATTCCATCTCTTCCGTGCCTTCCAGTCTGCAGCGCCGTTCTTGATGATGAACGGTCTGTTGCGGGCGACATAGCGCATGAATTCCAGCGGCGAGGGTTCTGCATCGAGGGTATCGATCGTGGTGGGGTTGAGGTCGTGGTAGGTGGTTATGAGATCTGGAAAGACTTAGGATGGGAGAATGATATAGAGTATGATTGACAGGATCAAAAGGGAAATGCAGGTTTCGATCGAAAGTAGGTAATGAAAATTGGAAGCACCTCTTACAGCATCATGTAACGTTGCGTCCGCTGCGAGGCCAGTTGGTGCAGGTCTTTCAATGTCAGCTTACCATTCGCCTCGGGGCGAATCGTTTCTTCTTCACCTTGTGGTGGCCTGCTCTGGGCTTTTGAGGCCAATCACCTCATCTTCGACAAGCATTGCGATTTCGTGAGTCTTAAGTTTGGAGTCGAAGTCACGATGCGAGTTACAAGGCCGGAGTTAAGGTTTTAGCGTCGGATTCAGTCTTGATCTTCTGAAGCTCAAGGACACCATCGTCACTCCAGCAACACTCTACAGCTTTGTCGATAGCTGCGCATTTTAGGTACCGCGGCGCATCCTTATTACAGCCATGCGTATACGGTGAAAGCAAAAATCGACACGACAGTCTCCGACATGTCGTTCCTAGGTCCCAAGGCGCGCGATCTGTGGTGTACGTCCCTCTGCAGGAGCTGCACTTCGCTCTGTGTCAAGTCCTCTGCACGTTCACTAACGACGCTTCTTAGGGGCCAGCAAAACCTTCGCGAAAGGTGCCTTCATATTCCACATCATCACCACACACATCGGCTCCATCGGGCATACCAGCGGCGTCAGTATGGTGCCCACAATCCCGCACTCCTTCAACAAGCGCCCCTGGATCCTATACTCCTGTTTGCACCGCCGGGGCCGCAACATCAAAGTTGGAGACGTAATAACCTACACACATCCCCTTTTCCCCCACCAACGCGGCTGCAAGCGCGTCATCGGCATGCCGGGCGACTTCGTCAGTGTGATGAGCGCCGCGCGCGAAGACGGGGATCTGGAGAAGGAGGGGGCAGAGGGAGATTGGGCGAATGCAAAAGAGAGGTTTATACAGGTGCCCGAGGGGCATTGTTGGATTGCGGGGGATAATTTGGAGTGGAGTAGGGATTCGCGGTTGTTTGGGCCGCTGCCGCTGAGCTTGGTGAAGGCGAAGGTGTTGGCGGTGATAAGTCCGTGGGAGAGCGCTAAGTGGTTGGGCCACGAACAAGACGTTGTTGAGTATCAGGGGATGGAGAGGCAGTGGGTGAATGGGACTTGAAAGTCTACCTGCTATGGACGGCGGTCGAGGAGATGTATATCGTATTGTAAGTTCTTGCATGAGCTCGGAGATACCCCATCAGTTGTATACTAGGAAGACAGACTGATTACACTCGTGTCAGGACCCCAACTTGAGTGGTGCTCATGCGTTTGGATGGACACACTGGTAAACAGAGTGCAGATTCAAAAGCTACACGGGCAATCTAGCAACCGCTGACGTACGATTATAACTAACATCGTCAGCAACGACAGCTCAAAAGTATGGCCAAACAACAGAGGATAGCCACCCACTTATCTACTGATCCGCCGGCATGTTACTTAAATAGGGCTAGGTGCCGGCGCAGCATGAGGACAACCCATGTCATGCTGTGCCGCACTCTACTCAGCCCGATCGCTCGCCTTTACAGATCATCTTGCTCTGTTACGTCGCTGCTAGCTTACACACGTGCACAATCGGCTTCTCGGCTCTTTTCAATATGGATCCACTTAGTACCACCAGCCACCATCATCGTTGTTCTCCAGCTCTCTGCCAATGTCCTCGCACACCTGAACGATGTCAATTGAGGCCTCAAATCTCCACAGCCTTCTTGCCAGCTTGAGAATTCGACTCGAGGAGGGAAACTCCAACCAAGCATGGTACACTGCAGTCCGAGCCCTTGCAATCAAAAATGGGCCTCTGGACCAGTTCAAGCAAGCTTTAGAAATGCTACAAAGTAAGATGACAGCTGGAGACCGACTGAACAGGGCTGGAGAGGCGCTTGTATGGAAGTTCAAGAAAGAGGAGCTAACTAGCTTCTTGGGCCAGGTAGAACGGTTAAAGACGCCAGTAGGGATTGCCTTGCAGATGGGCCATTTGTAGGCTGTCGGGCAAGCATTGTGAAATAACATAACTTACACATGGTAGGAAGCTTTCCCAGGCCATCAAAGACGGCACCAGCATGGAAAAGCCCAGAGTTGCGTGGGAATAATAACTCACAACCAAGCAGTAGCATTAAGAGCATGGTTTTGGTGATAGCTGATCGTCACTCAAAACATTAATCTAGGTGTTTTACATAGTTCAGGTTTCTGCTAAAAAGGAAGAGGTCTTGGGGATGTATTGTCTTCTGATACAGGAAACGCGAAGACGCAGCCTGGCGGGGACTTCTGAGAGACGGTTCACTTGCACATGGGCAGAGAACTTGTTTGCAACATCCTAAGCTTACAGAATAAGTAATCACTACCAGTGCTCACTCGATTCATGTCCTGAATATTCACGCCACCCGATCCTACACAAGTACCCCTACCACGAAAACGCCTCAACATCCAACTCCCACCTCGCTCTTCCCTTTCTTGCCCGCACACTTACCACACTCCTCACGTCGTCACACAGCCCTCCAGGTCCACATACCACAACACCAATCCTACCCCAGCCCTCCCTTTCCTCTCGCTCTAGCAAGGCATCCACATCAAGCCTTTCACCAACACGAATATGTTTTTCTCTGAGCCCATCCAACACTACGGCAAGGTCATCAGCTAATCCTTGACTCGATGACTTGAGGCTCCAGTGAAGGGAGACGTTGACGTGGTGCGCAATGAAAGGAAGTATGGCGGTGATGCCTATGCCACCTGCTACTAGGACTAAGCGGTCGGTGCGCAGGACTGCAGCGGTGGAGTTGTTGGGGTATGGGCCGTCGAGGAGGGTGAGTAGCGATGCATGAGCCGCGAGCGTTTTGGTGAGCCCGTTGGATTTGCGGATGTACAGAGAGACACCGGAAGTATCTGCTCGTGCTGGGGCGTGTGGTGTGCGCGCACTGATCGCGGCCGCTGTGCCTGATTTCTCGAGATCGGCGGTGGCTTCGTGCTCAGAGCTCCATGACGAGCCAGCCGCTATGCTGTGGTTGCGCGACTGGAGGAGCGCAGTCGGGACGATGCTGAAGGGGTGGTTTTCCCATGGTCGAAGAGGGTTGAGTGTAGGGAAGTACGCATATGTATGTCGTCCTGGTCTAGCATCCCATCGAACGCCTTTGACGTCGATGCGAACAATGTCCGGAGTAATCTGAGTGACTTCCGCTTTACGCATACCGTTCTTCAGAACGCGAGCAACCCGCGCGCCTCGGTCGAAGAACCACACTGCGCACGCCGCGTACAGCCAGAACTCGTAGCCCCAGCGCCGGCTGAAAAGTAGCTCGATGTGGTACCAGCTCCCCACGAGTACGAAGACGGCGAGGATGATGTGCATGATGAGGAAGATTTCGTAGCTTGTTCTTCTGAACCACAATGAGGACACAACAACCATGATCACGCATGCAATGGTGGCAGCGATGCCCCATACCCAGTATGGTTCCTTCTGTTCTGCATCCACGCTGCCTTGGCGTTTGTACAGCATGAATTCTAGGATCGAGTGCAGGATGACTTGCAGTGTGAAGATTCGTGCGACCCATCGGTGCAACAACATGTAGGTTGAGTGGCTCCAGTTCGTAAGCCAGAGGAGCAGATTGTTCCGGCCAGAGAACAGGATGACGAGGGGTGCGAGAGCAAAGGCAAGGACGCCTGTGCGGGCTGATACGTAAGCCATGATCTCCTGCCAGGCGCCGGGAAACCAGGCGTTTGAGGGGTACTGGAAGGAATGGTAGCCACCGGCGGTGAGAGCGATATTGAGGATGATGAAAAGGAAGATGTACCATGCCTGACCTAGAGTGGGCGCGTTGCCGAGGGTAGAGGGAAGGGTGCGGACATGGTAGGTGCCGATGAGAGATGGCCAGACTAGACGTGATTTGAGTCTGTCAAGGATTGAGGTCATGTACGGGAGATGGCTGAGGCAGGTGATGAGGATCGGAGTTGCGAAGCTGACGACTAGAAGGACGATTCTGCCTCTACGTTAGCTCGACCTTTCAGGCGTGGTCTTGGGGCTGAAGTATCTGATGATCGCCAGTGTGGTCTGAGAGACCGGAATTGAGATTGGGAAACACTCTGATTCTCGTCTTCGAGTGCTGCGCTGGAGGAAGTCAAGGCATGACTGTACTTACGCATATCTTGAATGCGTCCTCTCCGCACTCTCAAAATACTGCAACGCGCCCCTCGTCGATTCCCATGTTTCTTCGTCAAACGCCGCCGTGAAATCAAGCATCTCACCCTCGTCAAGCTGTCTGCTCGGCGGCTCGGTTCCCTGCATCTGCACCAACGTCTCCTGATACGTCCACTTTGGTGTGACACCCATGGATCTCCCAGTCACTCTTTCAGTCCAATACTTTTCGAGCTCCCACGGTGCGACGTCTGTGCAAGTCTTGTTGATACAGTTGGCAAGAGTGGTCAGCCAGGGCGTATCGCTCGCATAGCACTCAGGTGATGTTGCGCCTTGGCCGTGAGAGTGGGCGCCAGTGACATGGTCGTGACCGGAGCAGATGAGTATTGCACTGGAGAAGATGTCGCGGCATGCAAAAGCGCAGTTGGGATTGTACACTGGAGATGTTAGTATACGTTGATGTAGGTGGACTAAGGAGGAAGTTACTAACTCATAATTGGATACCCGATCAACGCTGTCGCCGTACTCGACAATGTGAGAGTGAGGAGGCATTTCGTTCTCATGACTGCGGCTTTGCTGGTGTTGTCCGGACCTGATTGTACAGCTTCAACCTTCAAGCCAGTGTCGACCACAACTTCCTATATATTTTTCTCTTCGAAATGCCGAGCCCAGCCCAGGGTGTTCGGTAGAAACGAGCAAGCGAACGGCTTGTCTCGACTATCCGCCATCGTGCTCAAGTGGTACCTGCTGACTGTGAACGTGCTCGCGTAGTCCCTGCATCATCAGTCACCCGTGAAGGGTAAATTTGCTCATCCACACCGTTTGCAACTTCTGTTCAAGACAACGAATCAAAAGGAAGGTATAGAGTAGTAGTGTAATGCGGACATGTTTCGAAAGCAATGGCGTCCCGAAATGTGCTCGAAACTAACTCAGCTGCAGCGCTTGGCAATGCTTAACTGTAGAACTCAATGTAAATACCCGATGGCCATGAAGGTACGAAGATAGACTAGCCACAAAGCATACATACTATAGTACACTGTCAGAGGTAGCCGACGTGTGGTGATCTTTACATGATGATCGTTGCATTTCCGTAGCTGTATCTTAGCAGTCAATACTTACTGCACTTAGATCTCGAAAACACCGCCCATGCCAACTCTGATATCAACTACGTCCACTCTCCAGCCCTTCCAATCATTCAACCCCCTCTTGGTCTCTCTGATACGCTCAAGCCTCTTCTTTGCCTCCTCCTCCTGCGCCTTCTTGAATGCATCTTCATCGAACTCGAAGTCATCCAAGCTCGGCAGACTTGCCAAACTCTCCGTCCTCGGCTTCGCTCGACTCGCGGCATCGCTGCGTCTATGTGCTGGATGCTGCGACTGACCCGTGAACGCAGAAATACCAGACTTGATGACGTCCTGGAAAGAAGAGTGGGTTTGCCCAACAGGGCGTGTCGGTGGGGCGCCGGAGAGATCGATGTCGTCGAAGCCAGAGTTGGTGTACGGCTGTGAGGGGTCGGCGTCGTCAATTGAGGGCTGCATGGCTGTGCGGCGGTCGCGCCATACGCCGCGGCGAAGCTCGAAATTCTCCTCTTCTAGTTCGCGGACCTTGGCCATCAGCCTATCGCGCTCTTCATCTTCGAGCTCTTGCACGCTCGCGTCTTCAATAGAGTCAAGGTTTGCTTTTCGGCGACGCTGTTCGGCTTCGCGGAGGCGTGCATTCTCGTTGCTCAAGCCTGTTACGCGGGTTCGTAGCTCGGCAGCTTCGCGCTCAATTTTGGCGTGCTCTTGGAGGCGGGCTTGGTTGCGGGTGTCGTTGTCTCGGTGTAGTTGTGTGAGGGTCTCGATCTTCTTTTCAAGTAATTCGGCTCGTGAAATCGAGTCTGATGCCTTTCGATTAGCAGCACCAAGCTCAGCTTCGACCTGTGCGATCCGTGTCTGCGCAGAATCTCTGTCTGAGCCTTCTTTAGCTGCCTGCTCGCTTGCCTTGTCCAGATTGGCCTTCAAGTCTGAAAGCTCTGTCTTAGTCGAGCTGGCTTCTTGTTCCGCCTTCTGCAAAGCCGACTCGAGACTGGATATCTTCGATTGAAGCTCATTGTTCTTGTTCGTTTGCTCCGTCAACTGCGTGTTGGCCTTCGAAATTTCTAGCTCTAGTGACTCGATTGTTGCCGACTTGGAGGCGATCTGCGCATTCAAATCATCGATTGATTCTGTTTGGCTGGGAGATGCAGCTGAAGCGCGTCGAGTGGACCTTTCGGTCTGTGTTCGAAGCTGCGATAGTTGGCGTGTGAGTGACTCGACTTCTGACTTCTACGCTGGGTATTAGCATTATCTTGCAGAGATATCCAGACCGTGCAATGCGTACCAGCTTATCAGCCTCCTTGCTCTTCTCAAGCGCAATCGCAGCCTCGCCCTTGCCTTCTCTAAACTCTTCGAGCTCTTCCTCATCTTTCTCCCATTTTGTCTTGTACTCCTCGACCTCACCAATCAATCTGATCTTCTCCAACTCAAGCTCGGCGATCTTCTGCACTTGCTCGCGGTAGATCTCGCTCGAGACGCCGCCCCCAGGTGTCAGACCAGTAGGTGATGTAGGTCCAGCGCCTGAACGGTAAAAGGATTCGGATCTCTGGCGCGACTCGACAGCGACTGAAGGCTTACGGCCGTGTGATGGCTTGGGTACGGGCAAATCGGTAGGCTCATCATCGTCTGCGGGTGCTGGCGATGTACGTTCTGCAGGCTCTGTGGGCTCTGTAGGCTCGGGTGCGGCATCTTCGGTCTTCTCCTCGGCTGGCGCAGGTGTGGTTGGAGCTTCAGCCGGAGCTTCTTCGGGAGCTTCTGTCTCCTCTTTCTTGTCCTTCTTCTTTGCACCGCCAGCTTTCTTAGCCTTCTGCTTCTTCAATTGCTCGTACTACTCACTATCGTCAGCACACATGTCATGAAGAAGAAAGAGCCTTGCAGGGTTGCACCACCGGTGCTGCCGAAGGTATAATGATACCAGTGGTGCTCACTGCGGTGATGCCATGCTATATGCATCCCTGCTTGACTAATAAATGATGGATTCTTTTACATACGCGCTTCTTAGCTGCGGCGACCTTCTCGGCCTTCTCTTTCTCGTCGTCCGCCATGTCGTCAATAGTGAATGTGGTATGAAGTGTGGGGTTGTAGTGTACGCGGTGTGACGCGCCCTGAGCTCGGCGATGCCACCTTCGCTCCGCAATCTATAGATCCGCGCTAGAGCCTGATGGGACTAGGCTGCTTTGAACCTTTTCACTCTGGCAGCTACTGACACTGCTCCAATCGTCTCAACACTCAGACAAACTTGTCCTACTCGATATCAGCATGCTTCTTCCAATCATTCAAGTTTTGGCGTCAGGACGGTCTTGTATAATACGACCATTTACTTGTTCATTGCCAGCGCGGTGAATTCGAGGCAGTATCTCGACGTGAACGGTCAAGGATGGCGATCCGAGGTGTTACAAGCTGCTCTCACAGTAAAATCTCACCGGAATTTCTTCCAAAAACTACCAACGACTGGTGAGAGTTGCGTACGTGCTTGCTTTGCCGCCGATCTTGCACCGCTGTGCACAACGCCACGTTGTTGCATATTGCCGTCTGGAATTCTTCAGCCTTGTCCGCCAGAAGTCTTGATATTCCTGTAAACCCGAGTACCTCTACTGCATGGTCTTTGGACAAAATGACCACCGTTTCCATGGCATCCTCAGATGACGAGGAGGTTCTACAACTGACTATCGAGCTGTCGATGCAGCGAAGCCCTTCTGCCTCGTCTACACTCAACGCTGTCTCTGATCGCACTTTGGGCGATGAAGTCGCGCAGCAGACCAGTATCGTGCATTGTGGCTGCTCCGTGTGTCAGCCCTTGTCTACCGACGGCCTCTCAGTCACTCTTGAAGACTTGAAGGGGCAGCAGCACAAGTGTGAATTATGCACACTTCTTTGGGACGGCATACGGTTGCTCTTGATCCTCACCTCAGAGACACCATGACCGATGTCGATGTTTGGCATATAGGGAAAGATGGAGAGGACCAGAGGGCCATCTCCATCAGATATCACAAGATGTGGCACAGAATTCCCCAGTTCTATCGTGCAGAAGGTATGTTAGGCGCTTGCACGCTCACTGCCATATGAGAACATGTCCCATCCTAACAGAAGATGAGATGCGATTAATTAATGGCCTGAGATTGGCGTCAGCTCTGAAGTGGGCTCTTCTGGTTTCTCGGACTGCACCAGCAACCGAGTAAAACAGTGGATCGGAGCGTGTACCACCTGCGGCGAAGCGTACCCGCACTGCAGACTATACGATGCCTAAGCTTCACGGCTTCTCAAATGTGTCCTCTATGTTGGTTTCTGCGATGAAAATCTGTCAGTTTTCAGGTTCCCAATGATGGCGGAGTTGGGCGATACGTTGCCTTGAGCCACTGCTGGGGTGGCAAGACTTCGATCATAACAACAACCGACAACTATCAACGCCACACAAGCGGCATCCTAATTCCACTCCCCCAAACATTCATGGATGCAGTGCGCGTCGTTAGAGCACTAGGGGTTCAGTATCTATGGATCAATTCCTTGTGTATCATTCAAAACAGCTCCAAAGACTGGAATGAGCAAGCGGCTCAAATGGCGTCGATATACGGAAACGCTTATTGCATCATCTCGGCAGGTGCGGCGGAAAATTCGTTAAGTGGTTTTGTTGAAGGCTCGAGGAGGTTTGGACATACTCTTCAAGTTGTCAGATTTACACATCATGGTCAAGAAGGCACATCACTCATCCGAGCATGCGGAAAACACTACTCACAATAGTCTCTCCACGATTTTGAAACACTTGAATGCTACCTGGATGCCGACAGCGGTGATACACTTGAAGTCGAAGACGCAATCACGAACGCTCCATACAGTACCTTCTCCCGTGCATGGGTGTTCCAAGAGCGCATGTTGTCTAGCAGAACACTGCACTTTGGACATCCAGGAACCAGATGGGAATGTCGATCTTTCGTAGACTGCGAATACTCGCCACATAAATCTTCATATGGGCCAACTGATCCACTTCAGTGAGAACTGAAGTCAATGATGGATATGTATCCTTGGAACAGCATCGTTCAGCATTTCACCATGCTGAATATCACCGTTCCGACCGGTCGTCTCGTGGACCTGTCCGGTCTTGCAAAAGCTTGATATCAAAAATCAAAGGACCCTTAGTTTGCTCACCTATGGGCAAGCGACATGAAGGCTAATATACTCTGGCAAGCCGACAAACGAAGAGCCGGAGAAGCGCCTCGAACTCGACTAGCCATTGCGCCTACTTGGTCATGGGCATCAGTATCTGCTCCAATCCCATATCATGTGGGTATGTCGAGGCACAACCATGATCACACAACATGCTGCCTAAATTGGAAACTCGTAGGAATCGTGATGACAACAGAAGGAAAGACAGATCTGTTTGAATCATCGATCCAGGCGACCTTGACAAATACAAGAGGTGCTTGTTGAGGTTGTCATTGACGACCCTCGTGTTACCGAGGACTCCTACAATGACGAACCGCTGTATCGAATGGCAATTCTGGCAGAAGAGGTCCTTCCTGTCGAAGTCCAGCAACCCGTTCGATCGAGAACCCACCGGGATATTACAGATTATACGCCCCCCCCCCCCTATCGCTTTTCGTGATGTCGAAGGACCTGGATGATCATATGCAAGGTTTAATACTGACTGCAGATGATCACAAGTCGTTATACAAGAGGTGCGGTCTGGTCGACATTGGCACTTTTGACAGGGGGTCAATTGATCCATGTACATATTGGATGGAGTATCTGGAAAGTTCAGATTTTCCACATATCCTGATTGGCGTCATTTGAGGTGGTCTGTACGCCGAACTATAGATATTGTGGCTTTCGATCACACCATCTCAATATGCTTCGCTCGTACTGAACACAGCGTTGTTTTTCATAACATGTCCTTATCGGCCAACATAACATGCTCTCGATACGATATGACTTACATATGTGGTCGTGCACTTGAGCATGTCCCCTTCCAAATCCGCCCATCCGAAAACGTCAATGCACCTCCCAATCGGCTCTCAGCGCTTACCTATCATATCACCCACCTCTCATTCGTATCGACCCCACCAGCTCGCGCACGCACTCCTCCATCCTCATCGCCATGCACAGCCACGTTCCCAATAGTTTACGGAGATTACGCAGGATGGCCTCCGCATTCATCCGCGCCCACGCATCCACTCCAACCGCATCAATCATCGAGTCATGTATTATGCCCTTGTATGTGTTTCAAGTTGTGCATGTGGGGATGCACGTACACATGTACAAATGAAGATAAGCAGGGATCGTAAGCAGGGACCGTAAGCAGGGATTGTGGGTGGATGTAGGCTTGATCGACGTGCCCGTCTCGTTGCGACATTTGTCTGTAGATAGCCGTTACACTTGCGCTGGCAGGCGCGATGGGAACGATGGTTCTTCATCTACTGCCATGTTTCAGAATAGATGAGGATGTGACGGGTGGCATCGCGGGGTAACGTTGCGTGAGTTGTTGTGTAACCTAGGTTTAAGGCTGTCGTTGATAGGAGGCGAGATAAGTGGCGCGGCAACAACGCAAGACAGAAGATCGCTGACGTACTGCAGGTGATTAGTCCGATGAAAATGGTCTGGAGAAGAGTGGTATGATTTGAAGATGTGTATGTGTTCATTGCATTTCCCCATGCACGACTATGTGTCTATGTCGCTCTCCCGGTAGATATCAGATCCACCACAAATGGTCAACGCCGCCCTAGATGAAGTATTTAAAGCGAAAAGATCTGTCATATTGCGCTTTTTGCGCAGGCATGTCTTGAAAACATGCGGCAGGAGTGTACCCAACCATGCCTCGAATATACTGAACGAGAGACAAAGAAGATGTGTTGCCTCCAAAGAGACTGAGCCGCCGTAAAGAGCTGGTCAAAGTACTGCAGATCAAGATTCGACTCGTAGATACCCGTCTTTCCAGTGCCTGCAAACGATGGTTGTGTGTAAGGAAAATGCTGGTTCAATGGGAGTAAGAAAGTCCGGTTCGCGTTCCAAGGAAACAAAGAAAGCATGCGCCATTAAAAGTTCGTAGCCTCGCTGGTAAACTCCGTGTCATGCGAGAAGGTGGTGATGATGTATATATGCTCGGTAATCGGTGTGGACCATTATGTCATGCCGTCAACAGGGGGCGCAATCCGTTGAATTAGGGTACGTGATAATATGCAAGAAGTGGCAGGTGGCGGTGGGAGTAGTAACAGATTTATTGAGCTTGCGAAGATGAAGGAGCTGAGTCTTTCGATGACTTCCAAAACTTCAGCTTGCTCAAACGTCTGGTCTTCTTCTTAGGATCCTTAGCGATGGGTGCAAGGTAGGCAGATTGAGGTCGCTGTTCGATCGACAGCTTGCTCTTCTCGCTACCGTATGACCCGTTGATCAAACGAGAAAGACTTGCAATGCTGGAGCGCTTGCGGCGGCGAGACTCGACCTCGCTAGGCGCGGAACAGAGTGAGGCCGAGCGATCACCAGGCCTGCGAGGAGCGGGAAGGGGGAAGGTACCCTGCATGTTGCTAGTCATGGTCGATCTCGAAGAAGTCAGAGATGGCACATCTTCAGATGAGATGCGCATCTCAGGTCCAGGCTCTCCGAAACGTGGTGACGGCATCACTGGGTAGTCGGTTACAGACGAAGCCGCAGTACCTACACGAGGTGTGTCAAAGGAGATCTGGCTTGATCGGTAGTCAGGTGAACCAAAGGACGAGGTCACGGTATTAGGCGTCATGAGACTTTGCTGCGCAAGCGGCGCTGGTACAGCCATGGTCGATTGGTGCTCCTTGAACTCCTCCAGCGTCGAGTGTGGTGTGACAGTTGAGTCTGAAGAATGCGTGAGCGAAGATGTACGAGGCTCCTCGTAATCCTCGACGACCTCAACCTGTGAACAGCTTGCGCTGGGGACGAATTGAGGCACAGCATGTGGGGACAGCGGCTCCTCCAGGATGGGCGAATGCCTGGGCTCAGCACGTGTCTTCAGGCCGAGACCATCGTTGAAGTTCCAGTTGATCGCTGGGCCGTCCTGCCTGCTCTCCGTTTCAACAATCTGGATCTTCGGCTCTTCAACCTTCTCAGGCTCTTCCGCAATGGAAGTAGGGGTGGAGTCCTTCGACTCAGGCTTCTCCTCTTCAGGCTCTTCCTCCTCGAACACGTCAGCCATTGGCGAGGTGCTAGTGGCAGCTGAAGGCCTGAACTCGAAAGGAACCAGCTCAGGGGCACTCTCGGTCCTGCGATGGTTTGGAGTAAAGCCGCTTGCACTGTGCATGGCCCGTCGATGAGCCGCGAATCCTCTTTTTTGCGTCCTCGAGTCCGCGCCATTCGGAGTGTTGAATGGGCCGAGTGCTGCATCCATGTCAATAATGGGGCTCATGACATCCGAGTCTACACGCTTCAGCTGTCGCGGTTGCCAGGAAGCAAAGTCGGTGTTGATTTTCGGTCCTGGTACGGTATCCGCTGTGGGCGAGACGATGGTGACGGAGTTGTCATCATCGAAGTTGGGGCTGAAGTCAAAATCAAGCTCATCCGAGGAATCAGTGTCTTCGTCTTCGACCACGGCGTCCGGCTGCTCAGGTGTCGATGCTCTTCGCTTCGCTTTCTTACTGTGCTTTCCTTTCCTCGGTATAATCGAATTCGCCCATGACTTCACTTTCCGCGGCCTGTGGCTCGACTTCTTTGACTTCGATTTCGCGTCTTCTACTGGCTCAGCGTCCATGGGTGATGCCAAAGGAGACGAGTTGAAGGTTGTTGTGAGGGCAGGGTCAGAGATGCTGGTCGGCAGTCTTCGGTGGGTAGACTTGTCGCTGTTTCTTGACTCCAATCGAAAGAAGCCTCGCTTTTTGGTCGGCATGTCAGGAGAGGTAGGGCTAGGTCCAGCAGAACGAGAGCGTCCAGCAGACATGGGTCGATTGCGGTCAGACGCATCCTCGATCAACGGGTTGCTCAAGATCTTGTCCAGAACAGCGCCAGCGGTGCCAGGTCGGCTCCCATCCTCTACTGTGCTCCGAGTTGGGGTGCCTGACCGTGTGAATGCTGGGCTTACAGTGTTGCCGCCAACCATCGACGACAGGCTGTTCGTAGTCGAGTGTCCGCGGAGCGTCGATGCCTCGGTTTCTGAGGAGATTGTCGAGAGAGGTCGAATGTACTCAACCTTATCAGAAAAGCCAACACGAGCTCTGGATGGAGGGCGAGGCGTCGATTCATCGTCCGAGCTGCTATTTCGGAGGCAGGGCTGTGACATAGACTTATTCACTGAATGACCGAACTTGAACTCGTTCAGGTTCTCGGCAGGCGTGTTGGGTGCACTGCCTGTTCGAGAGGGCATTGGGGGCACGGGAGGGTTCATGATCGCGGACAGGTCGTGGGACGAGATGGCGGCAGAACGACGATGTGCGTGGCCACGGCGTCCAGCGGGCGGGCCGGGCTGCAGTGTCGTTGTAGGTGGTGACAGAGAGCCATCCTTGGTGGGGCTGCTGCTCAGCAATGTCGCGCCTGTCCGAGCACTTCCTCCAATGAGCTCACTTCCACCCCTTCGGTGGCCATGCATTGGCTTCGCAAGCGTCGTCGGCGACAGGCGCGGCGATGCCTGGGGAGACGTCTCTTGGGGTGGTGGTGCATTGCCTGCAGGATTGAAGGAGAAGGCAGGCAGTGCGTTCACTGACTTCTGCCTGGCGTGCGGCATGGATCCTCGGCGAGCCGCTGGGTACTGCATTGACATTGGGCGGGGCTTGCTCGGCAACGAGTCGTTCGAAGATGTGTCTGGTCCTCGCATGGGGAACGAGAAGTCGGGGTTGGGGACCATCTCGACCATGCCGGCGTTGGACTGCTGGCGACGCTGGTAGAGCGGTGAGCCTACACCCGTCGACTGCGACTGTGTAGCCTGATGGCGTGGCAGCGCAACCTGAGCCATGGTGAGAGCACTGTGAAATTAGTGTAGCACGGCGACGACGGGTGGAGAGCACGGCGGCAGCGAGACGAAACAAGCGCTGTCGAGGTACAAGGCGCCGGGTATTAGCACTAGCGAGAGACAGTGGTCAGCACGCAGATTGCAGGCCGGGCAGTCGTGGTGCATACAATATACGCGGAGGTGACGAAATTTTTGGGTGCAGCGAGGGCGAACGGCAGCAATCGTATACGGTGGTTGCTGGGGGTTGCTGGGGGTTGCTGGTGGTAATGCTGCTGCGGCTGCGCGGAGGGTGAAGCCAGTACACCCCAGAATTAAAGAATGAACGACAGAGAAAGGAGCGGACAGATACCGCACGTCGCCTCAGGTGGGTTGAGTGCGACAATGGGCTCCAGGTTGGGTGGTGGTTGAGAGGCCGTGAGGGGGAACGGCGAGAGGAGCGGGTGGTGTTGTGAATAGGCAGCGTGGGTGCAGCGAACTGGGCGGCGCGGCCGCCGCTTTTGTCGCTGGGAAACGGACGGGATATTCACCGCACGGATGCCAATCTGACTGTCAAGCCCAGCAGGGCCCACATGCATTCGCGCGTACCGTGGCTCGCATCCTTGCACCACCACCACTGGCCGGCCGCAAGCGTGGTGATTGCGCTGTCACCACGATAATTTTGCATTCGCGCGCACGCTGTTCACAGCCAAGTTGATCTGCTGTAGCAGGAGGCAATCGCGCTGCAGTGGCCTGGCAGGAGCGGTGCTGGAAACGCAGGAACACCCGTAGCGCACCAGCGAACTGCCAACAATGTGCGCAATTTCGGACGCGGCTGTGCCTGATCTCCATTCATCACAAGGGGCTACATGCTGGCCCGTCGACAGCTGCCACTCCACACCCTGCGCAACCATGATGTCGATAATGACGAGCGTCGCCGCAGGCAGGCCAGCCGCAAGTTTCTTGCATCTTCTGCTATCAGGCGACAATATCAAAGTTAATTGTTCCTGCGGCTCATCAGGGCCTGCCCTCAACCGCAGTCTGTCGACCACCTGCAGCTTATCGCTGCGTCTGTATGAGGACTGCACCAAAGCGTACTCGTGTGCAAACGGTCTGTAAACGACCTGCAGACATGCAGCATCTGCTCGAGTCAGCAACCCTGCCACTACCCAAAAGCGCCCTCTCATTCGCTGAAGCTGTCTGCACGCGATATGCATCCTCTCCAGATCGTCTTGGCATCCTGCCGCAACCCGGCAAACCTCTTGCTCCCCGTGCACTCTCGGACATGACGGCGAGATCGTCCTATTGTGAGATGCCGCTCCCAAGGCTGCACTCATATGTCCTTTGTTCCTCTAGGGAAGCCACGGCTCGAGTCCAACTCTCCCCCACATGAGGATACGCAACAACATGTTTCACGCGTACCGTTCGAGGTGGGTCCAGCAAGCCCCCGGTTGCCAAGTTTGTATTTGATATGCCGCAGTTGGCGACCAATCGAACTAGAGGCGTCAACTTGCCCCTGCATGGCTAGCAGCATCTTCCCAGAGGAGAGACGCTATCAAGGAACCTTGCCTTATTAGTGCACCAGAACGAGGAGCTCGTCCTCGCCACCATAAATAGTCCTGCCAGACGAAATGCGGAGAAGCGGGAGGGACGAGGCAGCGGTCTTGTTGCGTCCGCCCAGGCGTGTCCAGCCTATGCATCGAGATTGTTGTGTGCACTCTTGGAGGTGCCTGTCTCGAAGACCGTAATTGCCTCGACTGCAGAGGCTCAAGGGTGCAGCAGGCCGCTAAGAACCTCTCGTAGGATAACTGGGATGCACCGTCTTCAGCACCCTGGATGTCTTAAGACGCCGAAACAGGGCCTGCATTCTGGTGTTTGTACTACACGTTCTGCAATGCAACCTGCACTTCTTCACCTTCTACAATTCACAGTACGGGCCGATTGTTCACAGTTTTGCTTTTGCTGCACTCAATGCGCTTTCAATGTCCGGCATGCCGATCTAGGCCCACTGCGAATATCCTCCACACGTCGTCGTCGTCGTCGCCGCCGCCGCTGCCGGCAAGTTCCAGGCTGTTTTGACGTCGCAAGTCTAGCCGAGCAGCTATGCTGTGGACTCTTGGTACCATCCAGGACATGTTCGGCTCCCAACACCCTTTCGCAGTTCCTGACCGACCGTGCTGGGAAGTTTGTGATACTGAGACGTCACGAACATGGTAGGCCTGTCTCCCGCAGTGAGAGTGATCTACAGGGACCAAACCTCGGCGGCCGGATTCCGAGGCAGAATTTTCGGTGCAAATCTTTATTTGCTCTCGGTTCCACTTGGAATTGCCATTACTTCAAGGAGGATGCCAGGTACCGAGATTGAGCAGGATTTTACGAGAATACGGTCGACTGCCTGAAAAGCAAGAAGACCCAACGTCATACAACACACTACGAGATCGCGAAGGATCCGGTCTGTGGAGAATCGCGTATCAACGGTTTTCACTTGTGACCACCAGCTTCGCGCGGTCTGTTGTAGCCTTGCGCCGTCGAACTTATGGTTTGTCTTTTCTCTCCGAGCCGGCAAGCGATAAGATGAGACGTCTCCGTCTGCTAACCAGTCAATTGAACATTCCTGAAACAATCCACCTGGTGGACGTAGTCTCGCTGGACTTGAGCGATTTCGACAGTTGTCCACTGTTACTTCGCATCTTCGCGCAAGCGTCGAGCTACAAGTGTAGTACGCCGTTTACTGTACCTACGGCGACCGCTCCGTCGCGCGCAATTGGCTTCCAATTGTCTGTCGCATGCAACGAGACACCCGCTGGGTGTCCGTTACCTCTCACTGTCAAACTTTGGTAGATGAGTTGCTGGCACGGCCCCTGACCGCTGCGCTATTCGCTGCAACGTTTTTCAGGTAAAGAACATGTCAAGCGGATGGGGCTGCCCAGCCACCAGCGATTACTTGCTGTCTACGTTGCAACTTCCAAGTTTGATGTCGCGTTGACAAGTGTCTTTGTTGTATTCAAATTAGCAATCTCCGAGTCCTCAAATTCGCTCGTGCTAAAACAGGACGTGTAATGAGCGTTGTTTGGGACGCTCGAGCCATTGACAAACGCGAGCGCGATCGCACTTTCCTTGTTTCGAACCAATTGCTTTCCCAACCTCACTGGACACAACGCGTCCCGTATTTGCAACACGCTGCTCTGCTGACCGTTACTCTCATTACCATTGTTGTGATAAGGTCGGCCTGGATGTAACAGCAAAAAGCATCCTCTCGGGCGCGTTCCTGGTTCATCCACTAATCTGCCTCAACCTGTGGCGGTACACGCGTAGCTTGCGAATCCAGCGCCATGTGTCCGCGACGCCAGCTGTGCGGAGCCTCGCACTCGAGAACCACTCACGCGCAATTCTCAAGTCGTTCTAACGTCCCAACAAAGACACCTCAGCAAGGTCCTTCACCACTCATGGCTCTTCCCAGCAATGCGACTACCCTTCCGTTGCCTTCCGTCTCGCTTCGTACGGGATACTTGTGGGATGGTTTGCTTTGTTCTCCACGAACCAGATGCGGGGAGCCCATGCCCTGATCTTGCATCTGAAACTAACCACACTAGACCGAGCTACAGGATGCAGCTCAGCTGCAAACGGTCAGAGTCTGGACTCGATGCAAGACTTCGTCAGTTCTTTGCACATCACATGCGGATCCAAGAGAATTAGTAAGGGGTAGCAAGCTGAGGGTTTTCATACAGGCACCCAGCAGCTGCATGCCAACAGCAGTGGCAACAGAATTCAAGCTGCAGAACGACCGCAATATGCGTGTCTAGCAAATATCGCGATCGAGCACAACGCTTCAGAAGCTTGAAGCTCGGCTTCAGGTTCGAACCTGCATGAGCTGAATCTGTCACAGGACACACTGGAACAAGCAACACCAGACCCAGCGCCACTTCGCAACAACCTTTGCACACCTCCATCACACACCGGGGTGTCCGTTTTCGTCGGTTGTGTACCGAATTCGGCAGTCGATTGGTCCAGTAATGAACTGTTTCTTTTGCGAAACGTGGAAAGCCATCAGCACCACAGGCGACTAGACCTGCAGCAGGGACGTGGCACGACTTGTCAAGTTGAACCTTCAATTTTACGCGAGAGCGGCTTTCGAGCACTTTGTTCTTACGGCAAACACCGATGCAAGACGGTTCAGGGATTCACTGGGCATGGCAAGCGTCGGCATACTCTAGGCTGTGATCCTCGAGATGCTCGTCAAACTCTATGGTGCGGGTGAACGTGTCAACTAGACCTCTCGCCAGGTACGTACCGCCTTGTTGTCTCTCTTGAGATACTTGCAGAATATCATCACCTGCAGTTGATCAGCAAAATTCGCGGTAGATCAATGGTTCGGACTTTACTTTCAATCTGTGACACACGTCCTGCATAACACTAACGCATGCTTACACACAATGATATTCAGGGTTCCGGGGAGGGCCGTTCCAATCCTCGTCTCGTTTTTCAAGTACCGCTACGCTATTGACAATCTGCTTCACCGACATTGCTAAAAGGTCGCACTGCACCGGCTCGGAACATTACCAACGTCTATCACGGCAGTTGTGACATCAGCCAGCTTCACTTGCCTGAACCTCGCTCCAGTTCGATACCAGTTCCGTTCGATGAGCTTAGAGTTGTCCAAACCTCAGATACCTGGGTTTTCCACACTTCAAGGTAACCAATACACATACTCAGCTTCGGACGATGAGCAGAGTGTAAGCCCTCGTCTGAAACACACTAGCCTAAAAGCCTTCAGTAAGGACATCTGGGGCATAACAACCGAACGCAAGGTACTTCATGCAGACTCGATTGTTGGCAGCCTTGAACGACAAAGGCGCTGTTGAGAGTCCACAAGAGTGGGAACTGAAGTCCGCTTGCGCGACATCCTCTACTTGTTGCTGATCAACAATGTCATCTGCAGGTCCAGCAAGCATATCCATGGTTCACAGAGCCTCAAGGTCATTCCTGAAAACAAAGCACGCGACCGCTGCGCCGTTATCATTCGCCAGAGTCAACTCGTAATTAACACGACTCCTCGCTCCACAACATTCCAACATCTCCACAATACATTCAAATACCTCCTACGATGCGAAAGGGGAGGTAATGTTTGACGCATCTAGAAATCAAGATTAATACCAACAGCAAGTGAACGCCCTTGCTCCCACACAGACGCACACGGATCAGCAATCTGAGATCTTGTACAACCCAAGGTTACAAGCACATTAGGATCGCCATGTGTGCCCAATCCCTCACTGCATCTGCATTCCCAATCAAAAACCTCCGACCTCGTGAGCCTGCAGTGAGGCTTTGTTGTTGAGGGCCGACCCGGGGACTTGTTTAAACGATACGTGCACGACAGGCGCCGTCTACGAACTGCTGCATCGACACGGCATTCACGCAGCGCTCAAAGCCGAAGTCACACAGAAACGATGCGCATCGGACGCTCAACGGTGAGTCTATGATGCTGGAGGCAATGGTGCGTAGGTCCGATGCCCGCGGATGCTCGGCGGGTACAGGTGGCGTTGTAGGTAACACTGCAGTAACCACATATCATGATGGATTGAGAGCGATGGTTCTATTTCAAGTCTATGATGAGCGGCCTCAATACTGATAACTAATGGGACAGTAGGCTGAGAACGCCTCTGCAGCAACCAGTAGGCATTGAGTGCACCTAACATCAGCGCCCACTCCAGGGCCGTCACGAATCCTCTTTCTTCTTTGTGCCATACCGGTTGTGGTGGAGTATTTGAACTGTCATTCGGAGCCATATGCAAGGTTTTGTAACGAAGTGATGGTGGGCGACAAAAGTACCAACAAGTCATTTGAGGCTATGTATCGAACTTTGAGAATTTCAATGTACTGAAGCAATACTCCAGTCCAGTCTCTAGTTCTCCAGTCTTTGGCGTGCAGTTACGCCATCCCAACTGTCGCCATACTCCTGCACCCCAATCCCTCCATCCTCCTCACAGGCATCTCGAAGAAAAAAATACCGAGAAAGCAGGTCCCCTCTCAATGCAGCAACAGCCACAGTCCAACAACAACAGGCAATGTGCCAGAGCCGAGAACTACTCGCTCCGCTAAACACTAAGTATATCGAAGCCGTCAACATACTCATTCAAAACCGTAAATAAAGTCTGATGACTATGGCACCATCCCAAGGATGAAACGACCAATCCTGCTCATCCTGTTCCTCCTCCAGCCTTCTAGGACCCTCGCGTACCCCCTCTGCTACATAGCATAGAGCGCGCGGGTAGCGTCCTGTTGCGGTACCGAGGGTCGATCCGCCGCCGATGGTGCATAGAACAACGGCCACGAAGCGAAAGTCGAAGTCGAAGCCGGATTGTTGGGTCGTGGGTAAGGAAGAGGCTCTGAAGTGGTGGGTTTGGTGGTTGCTGCGCTGGAATTCTTGGAAAGCCTCGAAAGTTGGGGATTAAGGAAAGGCACGAGCTTGGGTGAATGCGGAGATTCTCAGTGCTGTAGTAGTGGGGCGGAAGATTGCTAGTCTTAAAGAGAGCAGTACGATGTGTGGAATTTGTGCTCGAGCGGTGGTGACGTTTCGACGTGCAAGTTGAGAGGTGTTCCTTATTAAGAGGTGCGCGGTGGTGGTAAATGCGGGTTGAAACATATTATATAATGTTGTTGCAATGTCAAGGTCTTAAGCTGTGTAAGTGTGTAGTGTTTGCGCGGGACGGTGTGTCTTCTATATACTATAAATTGAATATTAAGATGCTGGAAGAAACCTGGTCGAAACGCTACCATGGTTAGGAAGTCAACTTCAACCATACTTGGACCTTGCTACATCGGAGTAGATGGTACCTCCCCGAACTGCTTCTTGTCCGATGTCGTGTCTTCTTTGTTCACAATGCCGTTTCAGAGTATTATGGTTGCAACTCGCTTGGACGAGCGGTTACTGGAGCGAGAGGAAAGCGAGGGTGGGAGAGGATTGGGCTGGGTATGTGGGCCGGGCGGGCTGCGTGAGACTTCTATCATACACAGCTTAAGCATCAATTGCTCCGTCATGTAAGCCTCAACCCTGAACGCTTCCAGAGCTCGTTGGTTGCGAACCAATGTTGAGCAGTTGACCTGCGTCTGTCAGTGCTACCCTGCATATCATCCAAATCACCACGAACCTCTTTCAAATCTGGTGGAGTCGACGACGGAAGTGTTCCGGAGTGAAGCAAACGATACCAATAGAACAGGAGGTTCAGTAAGTGAGGATTCATCATTAAATTTGTGCAATACCTTCCCTCCTTCACGCCGTGCCTCGTACTTTGCAAAGCCATAAATAAGAAGCAGACACCAACAAGACAGATGCGAAGAACGAAAAGAAAGGAAATGGGTATCTCGAGACACAATATACAAAGGCGTGAAACGCGTCGCTCCCACCGACCGTAACGCCCTGTCGTAGTCGTCGAGCTTTGGACATCCGTATGTATGTCCGCCCAGTGGATTAGTCGCGCGGAAAGCAGACCAGTCCGGAACGCCGTTGTATGCAACCCAGAAGAAAAGCGTTGTAAGTGCATAGCCATGCACTGTCAGGTCAAGTTGATTGACAACATCGTTCAGAACCAAAAGGTAGAGGAGGGCTTCCTAGAGCTCCATACGATCCATAATGCCCTCGCTCATGGTGCGCACACCACTCCTCTTGCGTCTGTGCATCTCCACCAGACTCTCTACATCGCTGTCGCCCTCACTCTCGTAGTAATCGGCGTCCATGCTCATTTCGCGTATAGGCACGAACCGGTTCTGATCTGCATCGACAACGTCGCCAGGGTGGTCGATGACCATGTTATCCAGCTCGTCGCTGTCACCGTACGCCTCGAGTCCCTTTCGCGCGCGCTCGCCGAGCCAGTACTCGGCCCTCTTACGGGAACCAGCGTTGGTACTTGATTCGTGGTTGGACTGCTTGAACTTGCTCATGAGGGACATTGACATGCTGGGGCTGGGCGAGAGGGCGGAAATGCCGCGCAGGTAGAAGTAACTGACGCGCTTGCGGTCGCGGTTGTAGAGGAAGAAGTGGTGGCTCCAGATAGCGCCGTCGTCGGCAAAGGGGTCATCTGACGGCTCCCATGCGTAGTATTCGCAGTTGGCCATGTCCATCTCGCTATCAAGGAGTTGCCAGGATCGAGGGCTCCATATCGGTGAGCCGAGGGGTGTGACGGCGCCTGCGGGTAGGCCGGCCGAGTAGACCTGAGGGCGGAGGTAGTACATAGTCTGGTCAATCTTATGCATGAAGCTTTGCTGCGTCTCGCGACGGAACTCGTCCGGGTTGAGGGTATTTGCGAAATCGTAGTCGATATGTGTCGCATTCAAGGTCGCAATGAGATAAGCGAACGAGTGCCTGTTTGAGGCCTCATTGAAACTGCCGAACGGTGTATCCCTTTCGACATCAATGTCGTCGGCGAATTGCGCAGCCGATTGCTCGGACAAATCGGCGATGGCTGCGAGATGATCCTTATGCCTGGCTTCGAGCGTGTTCTCAATGCGCTTGTAAAGTTTCTTATCGCTGCCGGCTGCTTTTACAGTCCACAGATCGCAGCCGCCAATGATCGCGGTGTCTTGGGTATCGAAGTTGAGGGCAAGGTTGACCTCATGGAGGGCGCACAAATCTAGGTACTGCGGGCCGCTCGGGTTAGTTACATCATCACACGCCTGAACGCGTCGAGTTGCATCGAGTACGCACCTTCATGGTGTCGGATTGGGTTCCTTGCTATCGCTGAGGTTTGCTGGCGATGGTGCGACTGCTTCTGAGATGCTCGAGGCTTCGTGTCAGCGTGCCGAAGCTGCTGGCTGTGTGGGTGCTCCTTTATCGTAGGGTGGGCCTGCGCGAGCCGATGCAACAGATAGCGACAACTCTAGGCTGGCTGCGGAGAGGTGAAGATACTGTTGGAACGGCCAGACAGTCGTCTAGCAGGCGAGGGACATGTAGTTATTGGTGGTAGTGGGTGGTGGTGGGTGGTGTGGGAGACCGATTGCGTCGTACGTCGTCGAAGAGCGGTGCTGCGGAGCTGACTTGGCAGACTAAAGCGGCGGTGCCAGCGTGGTTCGGGGTGCCCTTCCTGATTGGTCCGACAACAGCCGACTGCGGCATCTCCTGTCGACCAACGAACATCTGGTGATGGTCGGAATGGGACGGCGAGGGGCCATGAGTGGTGTCGCAGAGTGTTGTTAGTTTGGTTGGGTCTTTTGGCCATGTGGAGTATACGTGATGGTTGTGGTGCACCACAGCCGGCGCTGCGAGCACATTGAAGAGCAGGACAGTAATGTTAGTTGCCTGACAATGAACTCAGAAGAGCTCGGCAACGGTGGATTGAGTAGATGCTAGGGTTCTGGGAGAAGGACCAATCTTGATCCGAACCACTTGCTGTCACATTTGTATTGAGTGCAATATGCTCATGGGTAGCCTGTAACTAGATGGTTGAGCTTGTTAGAACAATAAGAGAAAAGAAAGAAGGGAAAGCCAAAGGAGCAATCTCGATAGCATGACATTGTAATCACGTTCGAGTCCCGCAGACCACTAGTGCCAAACCTGCTGGACGGACCCAGTGCCCGCCAGACTGAGGTGTATAGTTGTAGTAAATAGAGTACAACCATAGTCATCCGCGTGTCACGGCAGGATGACTGATGGTGCGTTCTCCAGTCGCCATGTTCTCTGCACCGTACAACTCCGTGCTTGATGCGCCATTCGCCGTGCAATGCTGTCCCTGTGATGCTACAAGATGCCGCTGTCCCGCAAGCGTCCCTTGAACTCCTCTGCCTCCTGGTGCCGGGGGGCGACACGGTCAGTGATCGTTCGTGCTTCTTCTCGAGACAGGCCAACGTCGACACGCTACATAATTTTCGAGTGGATGTCGTCCTCGGTCTGAGCAGTGGCGGGCGAGTGTCAGCCACATGGCGCTCTGGGCGTGTGGGAGAACGAATATCAAGGGCCGGTCTCGCTCACCTCCATGTCCTCAAGGCTATCCTGCTGCCCTATGCAGCGCAGCACGTTCTTCTTGCTGCTCTCTTGCATCTCGCCGGCCAGCAGCAGCTCGTCGAGGATGAAGTAGGCTTTCTGGAAGTTGAAGATGATGTCGAGCTCGCACACGTTGCCGTAGTACTTGTCCATCTGCTCGACGTAGCGATGGACGATCTCGAGGGTGATCAGCTCATTGTCAGTGGAGTCGCAGCCGGCGATGAAGAAGAGCGAGGCATATCGGCGATATACGATCTTGGTGTCTAGCAGAATGTGTGAGCCTAGCGAAGAGCTACCCCTGCGCGGACCCACCACCGACCTTTGTACTCGAGGAAGTTGCACATGCGCGTGCGGCGGGCGAGGACGAGCTGCGAGACGTCTTTGACAATTTTGGCCTTGTCCTTGGGGGCGAGCGTGGTGAACCACTTGGCTAGGCGCTGCGAGCTTCAGCAGGTGCTTGCTGTGTTCTGGGGTGAGGTACCAACCACTTTGCCCTGCCGCGAAAGCAGAATGAGGTATCTTTGGTTTTTATTATTAGCACGTGATCATGTATCTGACTGCAATTCATCAGACTGTGTGCAGTGGTGGACACTCACTTGATCGTCATGGTGGTTGCGTGCTGTCCAGCAGTGTTGCGGTGGTCTTTGGACATGTTGCAACCACGAGATCGGCGACGGCGCGGACAGCCCCGCGAACGTCAAAGCACGCGCATCACCCCGCCATCAACGAGATCAACAGTGCTTCTGTCCAATTCACAGTGACTTTTTACGCTTAGAACAGTCACAGCCCAAGTACTGTAGTAGCAGGACCTTTCCAACCACTCACGCGACATTACGGCCCAGGATTATCGGACTAGACGCTAACTAAGCAGCCGCTGACAAACTTCCCTTCATTGGATATAGAAAGGAAAGAATACACCTAGAGTGCAAACACCACCTCTTCGAGTATTCGGTGGAAATATAGAGTCACTCAGCTAGTGAACGAGTCACCATCGTCACCATCGTCACCATGAAGCTTGTACTATCCACTTCGTATGTCTCTCTATGATCTTCTGAGCGTGATAGAACTGACGTCTACAGCAACATTATGTCCGGGGGACCCTCAGTGATGCGGCGCCCCTTCTTCGAGAAGTCGAATACAGAACTCACCTCGTCGTTGCGCGCAAATTTCACAAACCAGCAATCCTCACCCACACCATCTGGCACCAGCTACAAGTCGTGGACAACGCAAGCAGACGGCAGCCTCTACATACCCACCCACGAACCGTCACCTCTTACCGAGCCTCGCGAATCCTACGATATCACCGTCAAGCTGTTCTACCTGCCCAACATACCCGCCGACCGCCGATGCGCCCAGACAAGAGAAGCAATCGAATTAGTCCTGAAGGAGCTGGGCAGCAAGTCAATAGATCTCCTCATAGTTAGCTTCCCAGGGATATCATTCGACGCAGACGACGAAGATTCGGACCTGGAAGACCCACCGTCTGCCCCACAATCAACCTCAGAAGGCTGCGACGAATCTGAAGTGCCGCCGGAGGACATTGAGACCATGGCTGCAACATGGAAGACACTAGAGAAACTACACAGCGAGGGTCTGGTGTCGAAGCTGGGTATTGCTGAGTTCGGTGTTGCACGACTGCAGAAGTTCCTGGAGCACACGACTGTCAAGCCGAGCGTCAACCAGATCAACGTCCGCGATTGTTGCGTCGTGCCGAAGCCACTCATCCTGTACGCAAAGCAGCAACAAATCGAACTTCTTACACACAACGACTGTACAAACATCCTGCCACGAGGCACGTTACGGCAAATATTGGGGTCGGGCAAGAACGGATCAGGGGTGTTGGCAGGCGAGTCGAACAAAGATGGCCTCGAGGGTGATGTGGCACCGCAGTGGGTCGTCAAATACACTGCGGTGGTCAAGGACAGAGGTGTGGTGGAGAACAAGGGCTACTTCGCGGTCGCAGAACTACGAGACGAGTGAAAACAGCAACAAATGAAACCCTTATTTCTTTCACCACCCGAAAAGTCCCGCTCGGGGACGAACTGCAGACTCCAATGAATGATCCAGCAGTGAAAATCGCCATAGGTGCGGTCCTGATGATTGGCTACGGATGGTTTAGCGTTCGTCATGGAGGTCCCCCAACCATGGTTGAAGACTACAAAATATTGCTGCCTGGATAAAGTCTTCGCAAACTCCTGGGAAAACGTACTCACAACTACACTGCACTACAGACAAGTTCACCACCAATAACTTTTGAGACTACAACACGCTTCAGCTTTACAACAGAATCACCTACTGCAAACCGGCCGTGCCGTGCGTCAACTGGCGACATGGCCTACCACACTACGTCCTGCGATTCCGCACTCGGCCTTCCACAGCATGAGTAGGCTTAGGCTGAGCCTGACAGTACTGCGTCCCATCACAGCGCACCTGCAGACTCGTCCTGCTTCTCAGCTGTTGAGTACCTCGAATACCTCGAGCCCTCAGTCTCAACAAGGTCAGGTGGCGAACTCCGAGATCTTGCGCCAACTCCAAGAACTGAAATCAGATAACTCGGCGCTCCAACTCGAAAATAAGAAACTATGGCGCCGCATGTACAACTTCTAAGAACCTGTCGACAACGCCACCTGAATGACCGACAACGACCATGTCAGTCTCTACGACAAGCGCAATTCAGTCAACAAATTCGTCAAGGATGAGGTCAGGTATCGCTTGGATATGCACGCTATCCAGGAGGACATCAAGGCTGCCTGGAGGCTGCTAGACAGTGGAAAGATGTTAAGGAGCTTATGGTCTTTCTTTATATATACATGCACTTGGAAGTACTCTTGGGGAGGTATACAGGACTTCCACAATTTTCGCTCCATTCTCACGATACTTCAGTAGTGCCAGAAGTCTGACTACCTCCGGGTGCACTTTTAAACCCATGTTTGCAATTTAACGCTGAAAATAAAATTTTAAAAAGTTGTCTTGTTAGAACAACTTAGATGCTTTCTCTACAGATATCACGATCCTAGTTGTGCTCTTATCTCTACTAAGAGTGACACTAAGGTGCACTGGGATAATTTCAGACTTCTGGCACTATGGAGGTATTGAATCCTCATCACATCGAAGAAGAAAATAAGTTCAAAAAATATCGAAGCATGTTACGACCAGGTGCATCAGTGATTTGGCACAACGCAAGTCGTAACCCGTGGTAGCATCCAGGCTGATTCTCTCCTAACCCTTGCCCCTATTCCATGCAAGAAGATAAAAGCCCGGCTCTCGCTGCAAAGTCTGCATCTTAATTCCACACTGCAATCGACCGATTCAATTCTGTCTCCTACGGACATTATGTCCTAGCCTACGAACACCTGGCTACTGACGAGAAACGTCACGTCACAAGTCCCAGGCCGCCTTGACGTCAACACCAGCCCTAGGCCATTCACCACGTTGATGGCATCATAGGCCAGTCAAGCCGCTCCGTCTCTCAGATGACGACAACCTCAAAACCCCATAAGGACGCAGCTTTACAGGATACTGCGCCACGCCGTCTCAAAGACCAGGATTCGACCACCGCCGCCATGCAATTGGGGAACAAAAAGGCTTGGGGTCATATCCGCAACCTTGAGAGCAGTTTAGGACACTATCAAGTTTCAGAAGGCCAACACCAACAAGGCTCAGAAAGACAATATCAGCAAAGATGACGAGGCTTCGAGAGCAGATCTGGATCTACACAAACGCCCCAGCAGAGTTCTTTGGGCATTCACTGAATGTTTGTTCGGTTGACTTCACCATCCGCACCTCGATGCTTGGTATGAGAAGTTGGTAGCATGGTGGCATAAGAAGGGAAGTGCGGATACAGGAGGAGGATTTCGACTTCGGCTACACCCTCATGCTCTCCACGATCGCCATTTGCACTATCGTTAGCGGATGGAACATCGGCGACGCGATTAGTCTGTACATATGCATCGAGATGGAAAGTGCAGAGGCACAATCAGTTGAGGCAAGAACAGGACAGTCGGATCTGGCGGCTCGAGCTGGGCGCGATGCCTGTGCCTACCGGAGTGCACCTTTTGGCAGCTCGATACATCCAAATTAGGCATTAAGGTTCGGCATGTGGCAGTAAAGTCGCTGGGCAAAGGAGGATTGGGTAGTGGAATACGGAAAGAGCGGTTTAACAGCAGTTGGAACTGCAAAAAGGCAAAAACATACAACAGCGGGTATTCGCTAGTGGTCACCCACCTAACTACTAATCCACCGGTACATTGCTTAAATAGGGCTGAGCGAACGGGAAGCCTTGTTTTCAACGTCCTATGGTCGTATATGAAAGAAGTTCTTTTTACAAAATGGATCATTCAACTAATACAACTGCAGCCAATAGGGAGAGGCAATGAACTCTGCATGTCCCATCGGATATTGTCAAGGAGCATGGATGATACGCATGTGGGAAGCACTGAAGGATTGAACTGATTATTCTACATGCTACAGAGGGGAGCTATACATAAAGAAATGTCTACGTTGATGTCGTATAGCTGTCAACATGTAGTCATGCGACATAGCAACCAATCAGTAGATAAGCGCTCATGCGGCCAACTGCAAGGAGACACCTCAACCGTGACAGATATTCTCTCTCAAATGACTAAAAGCCGTCCAGAAGTATATATTTCTTCTTCGTATAGCCATTAGTAGCAGCACTAACTGTAAAGAACCCAAGCACCGTTTAAACTCGTCCACATTGTCCATTACTAGCAGGTTTTAAATAATGGAGAACCTAAAACAGTACCTTGACAGACTGCAGATCAGATGGGAGAACTTGTTGTCTCCAGGTCGGTTACATTGGCGCTTCCAGAAAATAAGCAAAAGAACGTAAATTTGGGGCTGTGCCTCAGTTGCATCTGCACTAGTGCTGATATCAGCTAACCGCCGACCTCCGACGGCGTGTATCTACTCAGGGCACTGCTTCCTGGCAAGACGTTGCTGCCGCAGCTGCACCTCAATGGTTTAACTCCTCAATCACGAACGGACCTGTGTACTGACGTATTTTAGGAGTCCCTGAACTAACCTTGCTAGCCAGTACCTTCTGTACAGCTTCCTAGAAAACCCTTCATACAAGACCACGATCGCCAAGCTCTCCCCGTCAGGAGGCCGTTCCACATGTTTACCCGTCGACAGTTTCAACGAAAACGGCATGCAAACAATCACACCGTGGCAGCTCTTGGCGGGTGAAGGTGGTTACATTGGAAGGGCATTCAGACAGCAAGGAGAGATCCTTCACGGCAGTTTTGCAAGCTCGAGGCATTCTCTGTCTTTATGTCAAGCATCTTTCCCCGCACCGTACCCTTCCTCCCTCAGGATATGTTAGCAACAATAATTACAACCCTCTCCATCGCATTGCGCTCCTTGCGTGGGCATGAACTCCGCTTGGGAGAAGCCGCGCGCCGAGCTGAATGAGAGCGTCAAAAACAGGCTCGCGGCTCTAACAAGCTATCAAACATTCTCGAAGAGGCAAGTATAAGGCCTCAGAAAGTGCAGCACCCAGAAATAAGCAAAATCGTGGTGGTGCGGCTGCCCGTAGTTGCCATGTTGTCGCGCCGCGTTCCCAACTCCCCCATCCACATACAACAGCCGTGGCCGCAGAATAACTCCACGCAAGAAGTTTGAGTGAGGTGGTTTATTGCATAGGCCACTGAAGTATTCTGCCAATTTTTCACGTGATGAAAGCTTTTGTGTAAGGCTCTATAGTATCATTTTTACCACTACGTGGGGTGGTCGGGGTGAGCGGTACGCGAATATAGGGAGCACGCGCACAGGCTGTACGTGCGCCGCATACGTCGTCGCTTCGTCAGCAGTCTTTCTCGACTTGGTCGAGTCTTTTTCAAGCGAAGTATTTCTCAAGATCTACATTTACCTGTGCAAGACACAGCAGACGTGCAGCAACGGAAGAGCTAGAGTCTCAGCGCGCTTGGTAGCGCCAAGCGAGTTAGCGCTCTGAGCGGTCTAAGCCACTCTGGTTGCATGCTTCATTCGACCAGCTTGGAAGCTTCAGCCTTCCTTCACCAACAACGAACAACAAGACGCTCCACAAGTTCCTTTGCACAAGCGAGACAAGGCTCTTACGCAAATTTTGCACTACTTGACATCGCACCCACTTCAAATGCATCCTGAATGCTGCGGCTTGTACAGGTAAAAGCCGACGGCAGCTTCAGCCTTGCCAGATATGAAAGCACCTCGATCCCGCCGTATGCGATACTATCGCATACCTGGGGCAACGACGAGGATGAGGTCACGTACGACGACATGCGAAACAAAACTGGACGAGAAAAAACGGGTTATGCCAAGATGGCCTTCTGTGCTAAGCAAGTCGCAGAAGATGGCCTTCAACACTTCTGGATCGACACTTGCTGCATCGACAAGTCAAGCAGCGCGGAGCTCTCGGAAGCTATCACATCCATGTTCCGTTGGTATAAGAACTCAAGTCAGTGCTACGTCTATCTAACGGATGTCACGACCAACAAGAGGAAAGCCGACCAGGAAGCAGCCCATCCTACTTGGATCTCAGCTTTTCGAACCAGCAGGTGGTTCAATCGAGGTTGGACTCTCCAAGAACTGCTTGCCCCACATACGGTCAGCTTCTTCTCTCGCGAGGGAAAGGAGCTTGGCAACAAACTGGATCTAGAGCAACACATCCATGAAGTTACGCGTATCCCTGTTCCCGCTCTTCGAGGAGTTCCTCTGCACGAATTCTCTATACCGGATCGGATGTCCTGGGCTGCTAGCCGTGAAACTAAGCGTGAGGAAGACAAGGCATACTCACTGTTAGGGATATTTGGTGTGAGCATGTTACCAAACTACGGAGAAGAGGAGGAAGCAGCATTTAGAAGGCTTCGAAGAGAGATCAGAGAGATCACAGGGAACGATACCACATCTTTGGATGAAGAGGAGAAACAGCTGTTTATGAGTACGCTACGATTTGATCAGATTGATGCACGTCACATAACGATCAAGAATGCCCACGCTAAGACGTGCAAGTGGCTCCTACACAAGTCAGAGTACGTTGATTGGCTGGATACGGCAAAGCTGCCTCACCACCATGGCTTCTTGTGGATCAAGGGAAAGCCAGGAACCGGAAAGTCAACCTTAATGAAGTTCGCTTTCGGTAAAACAAGCAAAAGCAAAACGATGAAGCACAGCGTTGTAATTGCCTTCTTCTTCAACGCTAGAGGGGAAGTGCTGGAAAAGTCTGTAATTGGAATGTATCGGTCGCTACTATTACAGCTGCTCGAACAAGTCCCCAGTTTACGGTGTACCTTCAAGTCCTCGAGTCTATCACCCTCAAGCGTCAACGCAGAGTATCAGTGGGGCGTTAACTCACTCGAAGCGCAACTCGAGCAAGCTGTGCTGGGTCTCGGAAATACACCTGTTGTTTGTTTTATCGATGCGCTTGACGAGTGTGAACAACGGCAGGTTCGAAGCATGATATCATTCTTCGAAAACACTGGTGAGCTCGCGGTATCATTTGGCATATCCTTCCGGGTCTGCTTCTCGAGCAGACACTACCCTGAGATCACGATCAAAAAAGGCCTGAGCTTCAAGCTCGAGGGACAGGAAGGCCACAACCAGGACATCAACAACTACCTAGAGAGCGAATTGGAGATTGGAGATAGCGAGATTGCCCAACAGGTTCGAGCAGACCTCCAAAGAAAGGCCTCTGGAGTTTTTATATGGGTTGTACTCGTTGTGGATATACTGCAGAGAGAGTATGACCGCGGCCGCATGTATGCTCTAGAGCAGCGGCTCCGGGATATACCTGCTGATCTTCATCAATTATTCCACGACATACTGACACGAGATTCACGCGACAAAGAGGGCTTGATTTTAAGCATTCAATGGGTCCTCTTCGCGAAGCAACCCTTGAGCCCAGAACAGCTCTATCTCGCAGTTCTCTCTGGAGTCGAACCTGGACTTGTGTCCCAATGGTACCCTGGCGCCATCCCTGAGGAAGACACAATAAGACGCTTCATACTCGATGCATCCAAGGGTCTCACCGAAATCACGAAGTCCAAATCTCAAAAGGTTCAGTTCATCCATGAGTCTGTAAGAGACTTCCTGCTGAAAGACGATGGTCTTGGGAGAATTTGGCCGGATCTCAGAGACAATTTCGAAGGTCAAAGCCACGAACGGCTCAAGCAATGCTGTTTCACCACCATGCGCTCAAACGTGGAAGGCCACATAAGAGTTCCCAGCGACTTTGTTAAAGCCTTGCCACAAGAGATTACAGACTCACGTGCGGCAGTCACTCAAGCTTTTCCAGTCTTGGAATATGCTGTGCAGAACATATTACATCATGCCAATGCTGCACAAGGAGCCGGCATTGACCAGACGAACTTCATGGCGGATTTCCCACTCGATCGGTGGATAAGATTCGCCAACTTGTTTGAGAGACATAAGATACGTAGGCATACGAACTCAATGAGCATCCTCTATATCCTCGGGGAGCGCAACATGCCAAACCTTATCAGATCCTATGCGTCTGTCAATACTTGTTTCGAGGTTGGAGCAGAGCGCTACGGGGCGCCATTCCTAGCAGCTGTCGCGACTAAGAGCAAAGAGGCCGTGTGCGCCTTTGTCGACGCACTCAACAAAGCAAATGGTCAAAGGAACGTCAGCCCGGAATCTTACGTGCATTTTTATCAGAGCAAAGACGGACAAAGTCTTCTCCCACGGGACTTCAAATTCTCGAAACAGAGGAATATCGTCGACTATCTTATCGATCTTGGTGACGAGGCTGCTTTGTGTCTTGCAATCACGACAAACGTGGTTAATGTTGACGCATGGCTCAACGACGGATCAACGCCGCTGATCTGGGCAACACAGAATAGGCGCAGAGACATTGTTGAGCTGCTGCTTAGCACTAACAAGGTTGATGTTAATGCGAAGAACAACATTGGCCGGACACCGCTGATGTTAGCAGCGCAGACTAGGCACAGAGACGTTGTTGAGCTGCTGCTTAGCACTGACAAGATTGACGTGGACGCGAGGAGCAATGACGG